GCTTTGGCCCTGGACCGAGCAGCCTCAGGGAGGGAGCCAGGGCCGCAAGGCAGAACAAGGCCGGGGTGCAAGGCTGCAAGGCAGAACAAGGCTGGGGTGCCAGGATTCTGTGGCAGATACCTAAGCAGGGCGTGGTGGGAGTTGAGAAGAGGGTGGGGAGGCTAGGAGCCAGGGGGCCAGGAGGTGGTGGCCCAGCTGGGTACAAGGCAGGGACTGAAGCCAAACAGAACGTTCTCCAGGTAGCTATTGGGCAATTCTAGGCCTACCTAGGCAAGAAGAGCAGAAGGTCCCTGGGCAGCCACTATAGTCACAAACACTAGGAGAGAAAGAAAATACCAGGTGCTATTCCGTACCTGTCCCACCTCCCCGGACACGGTGACCCCATGCATGGAGCCCTGTGCAGGTGGGAGTGTAGCTGTCAGGTGTATTTTGGCTGGTACCGGCAGGGCATTCCACGATTGCGCTCCCTGTGATCTTCTGATAGGGATCTGCTCGCTGGCCCTGAGAAACCAGTGCATCACCACATACTGTGTTCTGGGGCCAAGACGAAGGCCCCAGGCTCCCCTCCCTGACTCCGCCCTGTCCTCCTGGCCTGTCTGAAGTTCCCAACAACAAGAGGGCCTTAGATGTGGCCCCAAGCTACAGGGAAGTCCAGGATTCCTTAGGCAGCTGTCAGGGCTCGGCCTAAAACCCTCGCAGGCAGAACAGAGTGCAAATGGAGGCTCCAGAGCGCAGGCGCGCAGTCTACAAGGAAGGTGCCAGTGTGGGATTCTGAGGTGGATCCTGTGAAATCCCTGTGGAATCCTTGAAGGTGGCTGATGGATGTCCTAAAATGTTTGCCGTCAGAGGTGTGCAGGTGCCCGGGAGCTAGCTAGCACCACACCAAGGTATCTGTCTCCAAGTGCTGCCTTTTGCGTTGGTCCTTGCTAAAGACTTGATGTAGAGAGTAGCACCCCACTTACCTGGGTCAGGATTTGTCCAGCTGTCCTTACAGGCAGGTGAAGGAGCAATGGTAGGGACAGTTCTCTCCAGGAGTCCAGAAGCCCTGGGTTGTTGTCCAGTCCGGCACCAATGAGATGCGTGACTTCAGTCACACAATCTCTCCAAGAATCAGCCTCCATGTGTATGGAAGAGTCACCCTGCCCTATTTACTCCACAGGGTTGCTGTTAGGACTAAAGATAAGGGACATGAGAAGACTTTATCCATCGTGCAGAGTCACATGAATGCGAGTCATTTGCTTTGTTTATCCTTGCTTGAGTGGGAGTGTTTGAAATTGAACACATCCAGAAAACTAACTTTCTGATGGAGACTTTGGAGTTGTTTTGTCGTCAAGGCCCCGAATATAGTTGTGGAAGGAGCCGAGGTTTGAGGACAGACCAATTCAGGTACAAAGTCAAACTGTTCGCTGCCTGTTGAGAGGTCTTGGGCAGAGGAGCCTACCTCTCAGATCCCCAGTTTTCCGTCTACAGCATGAGCACAGTATTAGTCACTTGACCTCATGTCAGGCCCTCCCCCTCTCTGGGCCTCAGCTGCCTGTCTGGAAAAGTGGAACAGCCACAGCTGGGGGTGAGAATCTGATGAGCCAGGTGTGGGAGGCACCTGGACCCACGGCAGGTGCACAGGGAGAGTCTCTGTTTTTATTGCTTGGGTCTTCTCTTCTGCTGCTGTTTTGGGGCCTTGAAGGTCTTTCAATGACCAGGGCATAAGTCCCTGCTGGGGACTGGAGCAGACCCAACCTCAGGCTGTTACCCCCTGTACAGAGTGGGCTTCTGCATCATTCATTCCCCGGTCCTTGGCCCCTATCCTGCCAAAGAGACCGTTGAACTCCAGCTCTTGTTCGCCGTGGAGGTGATTAGGGAGGAAGTAGGGTCTATGGCATTTTCCCACACCGTTGGTCCCAGCTTGACTTAGGAAGATGCCTCCCAGAAAGTATCTGGTATATAAACTCCAGCTCATCTCTTGAAACTCAGCTCAAACATTCTCTTTTCTTCCCCCTGTGCCCATCCTCACCCAGCCAGAGCTTTGTCTCCTCTCTGCTGGTCTCCCCCAAGCTCCCTTGTCTCTATGTCCACAGCCTTTGCTTACAAGATAGCACTGCATTACCATGGAAACTACCTGCCCATCTCCCTCACTTGCAGAGCCTCAGAGGCAGAGATGGAGTCGAAACCACAATGCATCCTTCTTTCCCCCATTGCAGTCCCTGGCATGGAGGATATGTTGAATCGTGTTCTGTGGAGCTTGACCTGTGCCAAGGACATTGCAAGCTACTTAGTGGGTGCATTTCCTTGCCTAGGCCTCAAAGGCAAAAGTGGGTCTGGGTGCAAGTGAGGCCCAGGAGGTGACAGAGGGACAAGGGAAGCTGACAGGGAAGTATGTGTGTGTCCTGGGAGGTGGAAGGGTATTTGTCCATCCCCAGCCCACGCACAGAGACAATGGCTTCTGTCCTTGAGAGATTAATGGGCCTGCAAGGGTGGGAAGTGAGCAGCATCTGGGGTTAAGGGGAAGGTGTGGTGAGTGTGTGCTGAAAGCCACCTGTGGCTGGCTGCAGCCACGCCTTCCCACTCTCCCGTCCTGAGCCCCGTGCTGGCTGGCCTGGTACCCAAAGGCAGGGGGTGATCACTGACCTGAGACCTGGAGGGTCTAGAACAGAGGCTGTGGGGCCTGGGAATGGTCTCTTCTTTGCCCAAGAGCTTCACCAATGGAGGAAGAGAGAAGATGAAGAGGTAGAGACTTGTGCCAGGGATAAGAAGGAACAATTGGCAGGTGTCCCCTTCAGATCTGGTTTAGGCAGGGAAAGGAGGGGCTAGATCTGACCCAGAACAGGAGAGCATCTCAAAGGACAGGGTCCAAGGTCACCTTTAGGTAGCCACGGGCTTTGATATGTCTGTCTCTCTCCCTTACCTCTTATCTCTGAATCAGAAGGCAGGGCCTAGAGAGGGAGGAGGAAACTCAGAGAAGGCGAGAGGGTTAAGAGAGGTGAACAGGGGGACTGCAAGTATATTCCGACAACAGCTCCCTCTGTTGGGGAAGTTTCGGTGGCCCACATGCTTTCCTGAGTTCGTCACTACTATACAACCTCATCAGGGAGACAAGTCAGGAACCATCAGCTAATGCTGCAGCAGGGCATCAAAGGAAAACGGGACTATTCACCTGTCCTTCTGGCCCCTAAAGGGCCCTTGCTGACTAGTGGGAATGAGGAAGTTGGCAGAGTTAAATCAAGTGGCCCTGAGGTCAGCCCAGAACCCAAGGTAACCAGCTGCTGGCTAACGTAGTCCATGGCGATGGGCGTGGTGGCAGGGATAGTGTCTCTGGGAGGAAGCTTGTGTCAGCCCCCCCATAGTTGAAGTCACAGCTTAATTGGTAAGGAGTTAGGCAAGCATCTAACTCAGCAGAAGGGTGGAGGGGAGAGCAAGCATTGATGAGGAGAGCACACCCCTTTAGGGACCACTTATATACACACACCCACGCACAAGCAGACCCCCATCACAGGTGTCCAGCACTGCACAGGTGAGGAGGTCACACACCCTCAGCCCCTCCAGCTGTGGCCTGGCCTTGCACAAGCCCCCACTGCCTCGGGCCCAGGGCTGTCACTGCCGCCTCCTCAAGGCCAGGATACAAAGATTGGTACAAGCAAAGGAAGCAGGTGTGGCCAGTCCCACCCAGGTGGCTGCTGCCTGGCTGTCCTCCCAGGGCAGAGAGAGGAGACGCATTACCCAACCCACTCAGTGTTACTATCCAAGCGTTTCTTTCCTTGCACATTTCTCATCTTCCCCCATGGGCTTTTAAGAAACAGACAGGTAAGCCTGACCTGGAGAAGTAAATGATCCTTGACCCCAAGTCAAGGTGCCTTCTTGGTTTTTCATCACCTGAACGCAGGTGTGCAAAGGCGCCTTGCAGGTGCCATAGTCAGTTCTTGCTCCAACTCCATTTTTCCACCCTGGTTTTGCCATGCACAGTGGGTGCCCCAGGCACCCACAAAGTTCGCCTCTCTGGCTTCTCACCTTCAGGACCCCAGGCCTTCTCTGGCATTCCTTCAGTGTGGCACAGGGGAGAGACAGGGACCTGTGCCCTTCCTTCCAAAGCCACTGGCAGAGCCATTCCTCAGGGCTCCTCCATGGCCCTTCTCACCAGAACTTTGTCAATAAAATACTTGGCAAAGAGCTGGAAGGGGACATATTGGTAAAGCTCAGAGCCTCCTGTGAGAACAAGGATATCCCTCCTGTCATCTCCCAGCCTCTGGTGTGGGAAGCTCTTGGGAGAAAGAAAGTTCTGCCTTCTAAAGCAACCAGAGAGGAGGCAGACAGGAGGGGAGAAGGGTAACCATTTAGGGGTACCCAAAGACTTCCTGAGGCAGGCACCACAGTTTTTCTTTGTCCTTCATCTCTGGTCCCTGTCTCCAGAGTCACATCAACAAACTTGGTGCCTGCCTGTTGGAACAAGGGCATCTGACAGCCACTTAAACCCTTCAGCTCGTAGGCCGTATGCCCTCTCTGTACCATCCTGCAGAAGTGGCTGTGCTTGCGTCTTTGCTTGTTGTGTCTTTGCCTTTCCCATTCAGGCTCCTGAATGCAGACTCAGAAGGCTGGAGACTGGCTTGACTGCTTCTTTCAGAAAAACCCACACACCAGTTGGTTTGGTAAGATCTGTTCCAGAGCTCTGAGGCTAGGGCTCTGCTCTTCATGTCTTCTTCATCATGGTATTCCACATCTTCTCCACTTCTCCTTCTCCTCCTTCTCGTTTTCTCTCTCTGTCTCTCTCTCACACACAGATACACACACACATACACACACACACATATGTACACATGCTGAAAAAATTTCTCAATGATCACATCCGTATTGGCGTTTTTCCTTTCCAAAATGTTTCCACCCCTATCATCTGCTCATTTAATGATTCCAACCCCACTCAAAGGCAAGTACATTTCACCCCACTGGGAGCATTTAAAATAAAAGTAGATGAATCATTCACAGATTCTGTTCATGGATATTTATTACCCACTACCTTGCACAGGAATTATGCCATGCACTGGCAGCATGATGAATGAGATGGACATCCTTTGCCTTACAATCTACTAAAGAAGATGGACATTTAAACAAGGGATGACAGTAAAGTGCAGGATGTATAATAACACACAATCAGTGTATGATCATTGAGACCAATAGGATGAATACAAGTTACAAAGCCAGAAGGGTGTAATGGGTTCAGAAAGGTAGAAAGGTCCAGAAACTGTGAAGGTCAAGGAGGAGAATATAGCCCCATTGAGCAACTAATAATACTTCAGCTTGGTGAGAGAGTGCATGAGGGGAGGGGTGTGAGGAGGCTGGAGAGGTTGCCAGAGGCTATCAGGGAAGCACGCTCATGAGACCACCATCTGAGGCAGAGGTCGCCTCTTATGAAGGTCATTGCAGCTGCAGTGTGCACTGTGGACCAAGACTGCCAGCAGAGAGGGCAGTTAGGGGCCTACTGCCATAACGCAGGCCGGAGGTAGCGGCGGCCCATGTCGGGATGCCAATGGGGGCCAGAGAGGCAGAGACAAAGGAACAGGGTGGTTTTATGCTGGATGAGCATGAAACAGTCTTCAAAATATGTTACATGAGAAAAGCAAGAGCTGTTTTCCTAATATACTGTACTATTGCCTGTGTTTTGAAGATGAATGTATGCATACATATGCTTGGATCTGCAGGGAGTCACTTTGGAAGGATAAATAACAAACTATACTGTAAAAGAATGTCCCCAGGAAGAACACCAGAAGGGCTGGGACAGAAGTAGGAAAGTGTTCCCCCCCTCCCGTATACCTTGTGTGCTCTTACAACTTTGTGACATATTATTGATTACTATGAGTTACTTTTCAAAGGAGGTTTTAGGTGATAGAATCCACAAGACTGGAGATTTACTGGAGATGAGAGTTGAGATAGATGTGTAGATGACGCCTAGATTCTGGCTTGGGCAACTTCACCTATCATTTCAATGTTTCAATGTTGGAAACATTGGTGGAGGAGCAGGTTTGGTGAGGAAGCAAAGCTGTTCAGTTTGGGACATGCTGAGATTGAGATATCTGTAAAATATCCAGGTATAGCTGTCCAATAGGTAGGTATCCAAGCTGTTCACGCCTGGAACTCAGGAGGCAGATCTAATCTGAAGACAAGGGTTTGGGAATCACTAACATGTCCATGCTAATACAGTCTTCGAAGTGGATGGGACTGCCCAGGTGGTGAGAAAAATAGAGCCTGTGTACCAAAAATGTTGAAGGGACTGGCGGAAGGAAATCAGAGTGGCACTGTGTGGCAGTGGGCATGCTGAGAAGTGGTGAGTGGTTGAGTATAATCTGACAGATGCTAGAGACTTCAAGCAAGACTGAGACTTTCAGCAGATTTAGCTGTAGGTAGACAGATAAGCTTGATGAGGGTGATATCAGTAGTATGGAGAAGTAAGGTCACATCGAAATGGACCGAGGACTCTGTGTGAGGTCAGTGGAAAATGGAGTCTTTCCTTAGGAAGTCTGGCCCTGAAGAAAGAGTGAAGAAGATGGGGCAGTCATAGCTAAACGGTGGAGGGTGTTTGTGATGTGTTGGAAGATGGGAAAGAATAGAGCATGGTTATTTGCTGACTAGCACCAGTGGAGAGGAAAAGGTGGAAGAGACAGAGATGAGAATACTAGAGAAGACAGGGATAGACATAGATGATGGAAGAGAGAGAAAGAAAACTGGATCTGGAGACAGATGGGAGTTTTGTTGTCCATATAATAGGATGTGCTTCCATGGTGGAAGAAATGTGAGGGAGCCCAGTGACTGAGCACTTTCAGAACATGCGCCCCTGGGAACATGCGTATGGGAGTGTGCACATGCATGCTCATGGTACCCCTCACTGTTCCGCACTCTTCTGTGCTTTGCATGGGTACCTAGCTGAACCTGTCCATGCTTTCACAGATCCCACGTATCTCTTTGCTATCGTAGGCCACAGTCCTCTTCAAAGTTATTATGGCATCTTGGTAAGGGTGCTAACGGTGCTGGGGTAAGAAGTGAAGGGCTGGAGTCAAGAGGGAGGCTGCTTCTGAGCTCCTGTTATGGATGCCCTGGATGCCTAGTTCCCACTTTCCTTCCTGAAGAAGGATGGCCCCTCTTTGGTTATTGACATTCACCCCACAACTCAGCATAGGGGTAAATGGAGATGGTGAGATGATGGTGGCAGCAGACACAGCTGGAAGCTGCTTCCAGGTACAAGGGCGATTAACTGCTAATGAGCCACCTGACAGACAGATTGGGGATGATCCCATAAAAGAAATGATTAGAAAGGCAAAATTTACCACATATATTTAAAAATATACTAGGATGCAAATGAGAGACAAACATTTTTAGACTCAGAGACTTCAAAAGCAAGAATAAGACAACTTAGAAACAACAACAGAACAGCAACACAATTCAAACTATGGGCAAAGGACTTCAACAGACGTTTCTTAAAAAAAATGTTTTGCAGATGGCCAATAAACACATAAAAAGGAGTTCAGTGTCACTAGGCATTAAGGAAAATGCAAATCAAAACCACAATACGGTATCACTTTACATCCATTAGGAGGGCCACTGATGGAAATAACAGCAAAAACAGAAAGTAGCAGGTATTGGTGAGGATGTGGAGAAAATGGAACACTCATCTATTGCTGGAGGAAATGTAAAAGAGCACAGCTACTGTGGAAAAGGGCATAGCAGTTTCTCAAAAAAATTAAGCAAAGGTTACCATAAGATCCAGCAATACCACTTGTAGGTATAATCTACCAAAAATGGGGACTTGGATGTCTGTGCACCAATGTTTGTAACAGTTTTACTCACAAGAAACAAGAAGTGGAAACAAATGTACAACAATGGATGAACAGATAAATAAAACTTGTATGTGCATACAATTAAATTAGAATGAAATTCTTATACATGCTACAACATGGATGAATCTTGAAAGCATTATACTAAGTGAAATACAGCAGACACAATAGAGTTAATACAGCACAATTTCCCTTTTATGAGGTGCTAAGAACAGTCAAATTTATAAGGAAGTAGAATATTGGTTATTAGGGACTATGGGGAGGAGATAATGGGCAGTTAATTTCTAATGGGTACAAGACTTTCAACTTGAGACAATGAGAATGGTCTATAGATAAATACTGGTAATAGTAATACTACAATGTGAATGTAGTTAATGCCATGGAATTGTATACCTAAAAATGATTAAAATGATGAATTGTATGTGCATATTACCACAATAAACTTAAAACATAAAGCAAGTATACAGAGCCTTTCTTCTTGCAGTTTGATAGTTGCTGTCTGGTTGTTATGTGGGAAAAGAGTACTTCAGGGCTATAGGAAAAAGACAAGAGCCACAGCCAGATCCCTGGGCCTGGCTCCTCCCACATTACACAAGTGAAGCCCCACTCCTCTCACATTAAGCACTTGGAACCTATCTGGCTCCAAGGCTACTTCCTAGAACCTGCAGGGGGCAGACATGAGTGTAGTATCCCTACCTCGTGTCTCTCATGGTCAAGTCCAACTTTGCTACAAAGGATACCTTCTTTTCCCAAGATATGGGACTTTCAGAGGATGTGTAGGACAAGGGCCCATGGCCTGTCACCAGAAATGCTTAAGTGAAGGCTGAGACATGGCCTTTGAGAATTATTCTGCCCACAGCCTCCTATGATTAACTTCATGGGATTTAGATTCTGGCCTAGGAAAATATCTCTCTGCTTGCGTCCCACTCCAGGCCACCTGGAGTCATGTCAAGAGTAACAGGGGTCCTAATCATAGATAAATATTTTCATCTACATCCCCCTCACCAAGGTCCAGTCCAAGATTCAAGTGTCCCAAGGTGTTGCGACGAAGGACCTCCCAACCCCAGTGGCTGCTGCTGCTGTGGGATGTGTTCCGGGACAGAGAGGGCGTTGGCAGGGTCATGGAGGCTCTGGCTATCGTCCCACTTTCAAACACTGAGGGACATTTCTCAGAAAGATGCTGTTGTTCATCCTCCTTGCCTGAGGACTTGAAAGCTTCCACACAGCGCAGCACTCGCAAAGGGTTTTGGTCATGGCGGCTCTCGATTCTGAGGAGGGGGAAGGGGAGAGCATCCAGTTGAAGTGGGAAGGCATGGCCCATAGGGAGAAGCCAAGGCAAATGGGCCACATGTAGAAACATGGATGAGGAGGGAAAGGGAAATCAGAGAACTAAGTTGACATAAGGAGAACATCCAGGGTGAAGTAAAGGAAAGTGCACTAGAACGGAGGAATAGCTGGGGTAGGGACCAAAGAGGCCTTGCACGCAGGAATTGAGAGTGTGGGTGTGAGGGTGGGGGAACATGGAACAGAAACAAGCCAATTAAGAGATAGCCATAACACAAACAGGAGGTGCAATTCAGGACATAAGTAAGAAAAGAGGAGAGCCAAGTTAGAGCTAAGAATAGAGTATGGAGGAGGTTAGCTTCAAGGCAAGGATATACTAGAAATGAAGGTCAGCAGGGAGCAAGACTAGAATAAGTTGGGTAACCCATGCCCACATGCCCCAGCATGGACACACATATAATATGGAGCCTTACACATGTTACTGCCCTGACAGACTTACAGCCCAGATTCACTAGTGTCATTCTTTCTAACCCTCCTTGGCTCCAGCCTCCTCCCTCATACTGGCTAAGAGGCTCACTTTACAAAGTGTTGACTTTTCCTTTGGGTCCAATGTGGACCTCGAGAATGGAGAGGAGGGGGAGCAATGTGGAACTGGCTGCCCTTGCTCCCACAAGATCGCAGATGTTTTCAGTTCATCCATCTACATTGTTACTCACCGTAGGAACCAGCGGTCGCCCAGCCCATACTTGCACCCACAGATGCCTGAGCGAGGCCACAGGAAGCGAGGCATCTTTCTCTCCAGCATCACCGTGGTGGCCACGACCTGGAAGGAGGAGAGAAGTGGAGGAAGAGCTCGTAAAGAACCATGAGCTTTGGAGAAAACTGGCAGCCAGAGACAGAGGAAACTGTGGAATAAGGACACCAGATCAGAGTGAAGGTCACCGTCATTAGCCACACCCTCACCTGTGCCAGGTATCAGGCTATCTGCTTTACTCATTCATCATAAAAGGAGAGAGAATATTTTACCAGTACTTTAAATAAAACAGTGACTCCTACATTACTATTTCAATTCATGGAAAATGCATCCCTCCAAAGTAATCTCATTGACTTTTTTATAGGAAAGCCATAAACCAATGAGCTTGATTTAAAGAAAATGATTAAATGGAATTTCTATGATCCGGAAGATGAAGCATGTTGCTGGTGTTCAGGGAATTTGTAGGCAATTAAAGACTCACATCTGAAGAAGGAAAAGAGTGGGTTAATTCTTGGCAAACTTGGCAGGGAAATTCTAGTGGCATGTCACATGTTCTGTACTTTGCCCAGCCCTCGTTAGTTACTTAGACAAAACATGGAAGAAAAACTTATCAAATATGCCTGTGACACAAAATAGGGAGGGATATGTAATTTGCAAGGTGACAGACACAATATAAAAATGATCTCACCCAGACTGGGATGCTGGGCAAAAATTAATAACGTAAAATTTAAGGAAACCAAATGTAAGACTCTTCATTTAATGTTTAAGTCTCAAGTACCAAGTAAGTACAGGAACACGGTGAAGGAGCTTGGCTTAGTAAATTGTGTAACAAAGATGCAGGGTTCTAGTTGATCATAAGCTTAATAAGGGCCAATTGTATATTTACCAAAAGCCCTAACTCAGTTTTAGGTGCTATTTATAGTGCAGTGTCCAAGGCAAGGAAGGGCATGCCCACTCTTCATACCACATTCCTCCGATTGTATCAGGACCATTCTAGTTTTGAAAGGACCATGATGCATTAGGGCATGAACAGAGGGGGCCTTTGGGTTGGACTGGGGCCAGGAGGCTTTATTAATTGAAGGAATTGCCAATCCTTTAAAAAGCCCAATTCTCCACACTCTATTCTTGCACTCCCTCTTCTCCTCCACAGGTCTCTTAACCTTCTCTCCGTTTCTTAGTTGCACCAAGTTCCCTCCAACCTCAGGAATTTCAATCTTTCTCTTCTCTTCCCCTGGATAGCTCTTCTCCCTCCTTATTTTAAAAAGGAGGAACATTTATTGTTTCTCTTTGGGCCATCTTTCAGCCCATCTTTCATTTAGAGAATCACCCCTTCTCTACTCTCAGTCCATGGGTTCAAGTAGACTTGTCTGCACACAATTCTGGTTAGTCTATACTCCCCCAGACTCCTCTTCCACCAGCACCACCACCATTATCTAGTCCTCGGCCTTAACCTTCAATTTAAGGAGGTGCCTATGACTCAGACTTGTTGCAGTGATATGGGACTTAGACTGGGTTCTCTGGGGAAAAGATGCCCCTTCAAAAGCACATACTTCACAGTGTCAGGAGGCACACAGAGTACAACATGCATGGCACCCTTGGCATTGTGCTGGGCAGCACACCTGCTTGTTCCTTTGGGAGTTCAGGGCTTCCCTAAGCTGCGCCACCACCATGACAGGAGAGACGGCCTTAGGGAAGCCAGACAAAAGAGAGCAGAACAGAACAGCTGAGATAGTGTGTGAAATGGGGGCCAGGGCCCCAGTCAGACTGGCCCAAAGCTAGTTTAGTGCTTTAAACTTCCCTTTTATGAGGACCAGCACAGCCTCCTTCACTGCCTTTTTAAAGTCTAATTGAGTTTGACTTTCCGTTCTGGAGCCAAGAGTCCTGAAGGATGCAAACCCTAACCTCTGCCCCTTTCCTTCATCTTCACTGGCTAATACTTTCCCGTATTTAGGGTTCACCTTAAATGGCCTCATCAGGAAACTATTTGCTAACTTTCCTGTCAGATTCCTCTGTTGCACCTTGTCCTTAACGTCTACATCTCTGTGACACTTATATTACAACTGTACAGCTTTCTCAGAAGTCATTTGTTTACTGTCTGTCTTCCCGACCAGACTGTATATTCCATGAGGGTACAGAGTGCACTGGGGTGTTTATGCTTGTATCTCCCAGCTCCTGGACACTTCCCAACTCACAGCAGGCTCTAAATAATTATTGCTCCATGAATGAAAAGTCTGCAGGGTTAAACGATAACTGTATGCAAATAATTGAATGGTGCTCATTTGGGAGAGTGTGTTCTGCATGATACAAGGAGGAAATACTGGGACCAAAGAATGGAACTGTAGAAAGATAAGTTTCAGCTCAGTGCACGGCTTTTCCAATAATAACAACAACAATAAAAAAACATTTAAAATGTGAAATAAGCTTTCCTCCTCCCCAAAACTGCCCAAATATATGTGATAATAAGGTCCTAATCAGCATTTAAAATATTAACTGACCCTCTGACCAATAAATGATTATACATGGGGTAGCGAGTCAACCAGAGGGCACTAAAGACATGGCTGACTCTACAATTTTGTTAGTCTATGATGGTATAAAAAACTAGACCACAGAGAAACAGGGCCTTACAGAAGCCAATAGAAGATAAGGTCCAAATGAAGAACCAGATGTATAAGAACAAGACAGTTTCTAGTTCTCACTGGACTCTACCACAACTGCTTGATCTACTCTTGCTTTGTGACCAATGCCCTCTGATCTTGGGCATTGAGCCTACCCGTTGCGGCCATTTTGTCCCCTCCATCTATCCAAATGTGCCTCTGTTAAGGTAAGAGCCCCACTGGGTTTTCTGTAACTCTCCTGAGTCATCCACCATAACATCACATTCTGAGTTTTCTCTCCATCCCCTGCACCTTTGTCAGACAAACACTGGTAAACTCACCTGAGCCCTCCAGAGCTCATCCCGTTCTTGGGCCACCCGCCAGTGAGTGTCACCCATCATGGCGATGAAAAGGTTGAGCATGAGCAGGGTGGCGATGATGGCGAAGGCAGCATAGGTGATGCTGTACATGAAGGGCAGGTCCACATTATAGTTGGCAGGGCCATCGATGATGGTGAGGAAAAGCTCAAAGGTGCTGAACAGGGCTGTGGGGAAGTCATGGAATTCCCCCAACTGGCTTGGGTCCTCTGTCTGGAAGATGATATAGAAGGCTGCTCCACCCAAGAAAAGGGAATGGAGATGAGGAAAAAAGTTACCACAAGAAGCATTCATTCTACCTCCAACATACATCTCCATACACTTTTGTTCACATACACAAACTTACACACCCATAAATGTAGATATGTCAATGTATGTGTATAAATCACATTTTATCTGCAGACTTGGCTAATCCGGAGATGTCCTATCACTCTGGATCATATTAATAGTCAGTCACTGAGCAAAAATTTATACATACATATAATTTTTTACAGTCTTACCCTCTTATAGCTCAGCTGTTGGTACAGTTTTTTGGTCTACTGTTCTGTGGGATCCCTGTTCAACAGGGAATCCCTAGGACAGGAGGAGTGGCGTTTGTACTGAGTTCTGGTCTTTTAGAGTTGGGGGATCTTCAAATGTCCTCTAGTACACCCCCTTGTCTTATGGATACACAGTTGCAGACACTGAAGACTAGATTAGACTTGCTGCCCTCTACTCTTCCTTCCTTTTTCTGCCTTTCCCTGAAAACCTCCTTCTATTCATTTGCTTACCCTGTCTACCCCTGTCCCACCCTTATCCCTCTCCCTAGCTCCATCCCCTCTCCTCCACTTCCCTGCTGTGATTCTCTCCCCCCCCCACCGGCCTTCTCCCACTGTGCCTCCGGCCTCCATTGAGCCCCTGCCTGCCTGTCTTCCCAGTGTCTCTTTACAACTCTCCACCTGTTTTCCTCTCTTGTTCTTCGAGCTTTCCAAACATTTCTTTTTTTGCTATGTCCTTTGAGAATTCCTTCCCTTTTTCTCTCAACTTTGGCCACTCCTAGCAAAAAAGCATGGTATGTGTTTTTGAATGCTTTATGCTTCTTCTTCTAGAGTGCAAAGAGAGAAGACTCAAACTCTGCTCTGTCTCTGTTTGCCTACATCATCTTCTGAGATCCACAAGTGGCCAGTCTTTCCTGTTTAATGTCCCTCTCACTCCAAAGTTTTTTTCTATGTTGTCCTTTACAAAGTTTGCAGGGTGGTTAGGCAACACAAATGCCTTTGGCTCAGAAATTCAGAGCACATGGGTCTACATTCTAGGCCAATCTCGGTGACCCTGACTCTGTGAACACCAGCATGTTTTGGACTCACTTTCCATGGTAGGGGTGGGGGCAGCAAGTGAGAAGGGAGAGCATGAGTGAGAGTGAACCATCCAGAGGCTTGGATCCAAGGATCTAGTAGGCGAGGGAGTAGTGCTCTTACCTGAGGCAAATCCCAGAATAACCACAGCCATCAGCCAGCAGAAACGCAGTAGGTCTCCAAAAATCATCTACAGAAAACAGAGAAGAAGAGAGATGGTGGGGTGACCCCTTTTCCATCTCAGCAGTTATTGCTAATAGATTAGAAAGTCCCCATAGCTCCACCAGGCCCGCTGTGTGCAGCATCTTCCTTCCTGTTCCCTTTCCCTTCCTATGTCTGGGAAGGTCCTATGGCTGAGGCCAGAGGAAGCTTGGGGGAAAGTGCTGACCTTCTGGATCATGATGCTGAAGGGGCCCAGCATCTGGAATCCTCGCGCGAAGTACATGACACTGCACCAGCCCAGCACCAGGGCGAAGGACATGGGCACCACCTCCCCGTTGGTGTTAGTGAGCCTCATCACCATGGTGACCAGCACTAGGGAGGCAGAAGTGATGCTGGGGAGAGAGTAGGGTGCAGGGAGTGAGAGGAGGGCTGGCAATAGTCTAGGTCCCCTACAGCACAGTTATAAGTCAGGGGGCATCCACACACTCAGGCTTAGTTTTTATATCTAAACACACACACGCAGTGGGGTCAGCTGAGATTCTAACAATTCTGGTGAGGGAAGGCATGGGGCTGGAAGGAGGGGACACTCACATGATGACATGGAATGGCCCCCCAAGGACGGTCTGTCCAAAATAGCGAGAGGCACCAACCCTGAAGATGTCTGGGATCTAGGAAGAGGCCAGTAAAACAAAAGACCATGGAGAATGCTGTTTGGTCTGGAACCTTGGGAGGTAGACTCAGCCTGGACCCCACCTGTACCTCACCTCTAGGAACAGCATGATCAGAGCCCCGATGATGGTCACCAGCTCCCCCACCAGCCGGATTTTATCCTGTTCAGTGACATAAGCCTCCTAGGAGGGGAAATTCCAGGTGAGAAATGCTTTCTGATATAGTGAGACTCGAATCCTTTTGACAAGGGGTTTAAAGTAACTGAAGTCTATTCTGGATGAAGAAAAGCTCATCTTACCACCACTGCCAAACCCTGATGGTATATGTCCTTGTGGCCAGCTCTGTGACCAGGACATCAGTGCGTAGCCAAGGTTCAATCAGGCTGCTTATGCTGACCACTTGAAGTATCCCCTCCCAGGTCACCTTTCATATACATGTTGTGAGCAGTAACCTAGGATAAATCTACCAAGATCACATTTCAGAGCATCAGGTTAAGAAAGTTACTGTAACAGGAAGAGGTATTAGTGGCTTGGAAGAGATTCATCTATGTGGAAAGTCCAGCTTTTCCAATCTAGTTGTGGTTCCCGGCAGGAAGAACAGACTATAAACATATCATATTATTCAGTTTCCATATGGGGCCAGAACCCATGAGCTCTGGCAAAACCTTGAGTCAGTCTCTAAACCACCCCCGGCTTTAGGTTTCTCACCTGTAAAATGGAAGCTCTGATGTTTACCTTTCCAGGCTTATTGTGAAGTTGAAATTAGATGATGTATTTGAATGCACTATAAACCATAAAGTACAGTAGTTGTATTTATTGTGGTTTTATTATGACTTGGCAATAAAGGGCAGATGCTAATAAAGTAGGGGTGCTAGAGACATATGGACTTTAGTTACGTGGAAGGGATCCTGACTTATCCTGGGCAGTAGGTGTCAAAAGTACTGTATTTGTTTCAGACTGTAAGATGCACTCCCTGCCCCCAAATTTGAGAGGAATAATGGTTGTTAATGCTGCTGCTGAGTTCTGTTTACATTTATATTGGTGAAATATTGTGTTATTTATGTTATTAAATATTTTACCACATTTTGGGCTTCCATTTTTTCCCTATTTTCCTCCTCTAAAACCTAGGTGCATCTTATGGTCTGAAGACTACAGCACGCCACTAAGGTCTAGATGGAGACAAGACCATCCTCCTTCTGTGCACGTTATTGTGCTTTCCAGTGAAAGGCTTCAAAACATGATACAGAGGCACTGATAGAATTCTACAACAACAACACGTAACCTTTCTGAAGTCCTGAGCCCATCTGAGAATATCATAAAGACTACAGCCCCTCCTTCTAGAAAACTGTTCACATGGATGTCACCCCCACATAAAATTGTACGAATAATTTTAGCACCTTCGAGCACCCTTCTGGCTTTTGGGAACTGTGCCCCAGGGTCCCATCTCTGAATAGTGCACCCAAGATAGGAGGGGAGGGAGGGTCCCTGGGGCCAGTGGGAAAGTTGATGATCTCAACCAGGGAGGATGTGACTGCTCCTGAGGCATCAGAGATGCTGAGCATCTTTCCTTTGCTAATAAACTGTAACCTCTGAGCAACCCTCCACAGGCTACTTCAGTGTTGCCCTCACTGCTCCAGGGAGAGGCATAGCTTTTGAAAGAGGAAGAGACACCCTGTAGTAAGAGGTAATCTATGGTATAAAGGAGGCATCCACCAAAGGCCTGTGGCTGCTCAGAATGTGTAGGTCAGCTTGGAAGCAGCCAAGAAGATACCCCTTAAGAGTAGGGCCAGACTTGCCAGTAGAAGGTAGAAATGTTTTGGGTCCATCACGTGGGGCCAGGAAAGATCAGGAGAGGGGTTGGTGTCTGTGTGCCTGGACAGCAGTGTGATCTAACAATTTGGGACTAGACTCCAGTTACTTTCTTGTCATTTAAAGACTTGAGAATCTATAAACTCTCTGGCATGTATCTCTCTTGAGAAACTGGTAAAATTTATTTTATCATATAATGGGGAATTTCCCCTTTCCCTTGCTTCCAAGGAAGCTTGGAGTCCTTTTTCATCCCTAATGCTAGCTGCTACCACATTTTGCCATGTATAATGTGCACTTGTTTGCCCAAATTTTTTAGGAAAAAATAAGAATGTACATCATACATGGGTAGTGCCTGAAATACTTTGTATTTCTTGTTCTTGTGTTTTGTAATTATTTGTTACATAGAATTTCTTGTCCCATAATATGTTCAAAAATAAATGCTAAAATTTCTCTATAATACAAAAAACAAGTATCTAAATATAAAGAAATAAAATTTTGAAATGCAACACTTTTCCCTGAGAGTCTGGGCCAAAAATGTGGGTGCACATTATCCACAACAAAATATGGTACTTTGAATAACCTCTCCTTTGACCCGAAATTCAGTTCACGGGTCTTGTGCTTTATTTTAATGTCATCATGGCATCTGCCTCCAATTGTCAAACATGCCAACTCCTTTTGAGACCAGGTAGTACATAGTAGGATAAATAAGTACATTAACTATAGAAAAAAATAACATTAAAATATAGAAATAAAAAACTGCATCTATGCCATATATGTGTCTGTACAAAAATTTTGAACTCATTTTAAAACTTTGTCTCTCAATTAAGGACATCTACAAAACTGCCACCAATCTTTTCTTGGCTCAACTAAGAAGAAAAGGAACCAAGTATGCACAAGTTGGCCAGGTGAGTGGTGGGGGATCCAAGTGCCCCCAGGGGATGCTGGGAGAGTAGCATCACCTATTCCTTCAGGAGATAAAAAGTGAAACCCCAATGAAGGAGAATGTTGGGGACAGTCTCCATCACCACCATCTCCTTCTGGGATTTCCCCTCACCAGGATTCTGAGCTTGTTCAACAGATTCCTATATAGGTAGGAATTCCCCTGCACAAGTTCACCAGTGAGTAACAGAGTTGTCCAGAGATACCAAACTTCATTTCAGCTCCACCTGGGACCCAATCACCTTAAAAAGAAGTTCCCTCCACCACTTTGTCACCAAAGGTTCCCTCCCTTAAACCAGGGAAGTAGAGTGCCAGTCTCCTTCCTCAACCACATTTTCCTGGCTCACCCTTGCTTAATCCTCAAGACTTAAGTCACAGCACTCCCCCAGGGTCAGGTGTCTCTTTTATGGGTACATGGTGCCACTCTCTGCTCATGGCCCTCACCCAGCACCCTGACATTGTCTGGTGCTCCAGATCTCACCAGTAATCTTAGAACTCCCTGAGAACAGAGACATCTAACTCTGACTTCTTATTCACAATGCACAACATAGTAGGTATCCCAATAATAAGAAAGAAAGGAAGGAAGGAGGGAGAGGAGAGGGTACAAGCTGAGCACTATCTGAGAGGGGCAGAAGAGTGGTCAAGAGTGCTAAGAAAGTAGGGATGGGTAAAAAGGTGACAACTAGTTGGGTATTTCTGGGATTTTCAGATTCTTAGTTCAAGGTTGCCTAAGCAGGCTTGACTAATGTTACACTGAGAAAATATTCCACCCCACCTTTTTAAAAACAAATGCCTTCCAGCAATGACCAGAAGTCTTTACAGCAACACATGGCTTGAAATTTCAGGAGCTGTGAGCTAAATCCCCTGCAGAGGCTGACTTCAGTGAGAACTGGCCCAGTGAGATTGCTCTCACTTATCAGCTGTCTGGGTGCATGCCTTGAAGTAAATGCCCAACAAGGGGTAAGGGTGGGAAGCATGAGAAACCTGGGAAGAAGCTGGGAGGGCACCAGAAAAAGTTATCACACCCCAGTCCTAGACTCACTTATCCTCCCCAAGATCCCAGTCTTTCAAAATCGTGAAGCTCCAAGAAAGAGTCATACCAGCTTGTAATGCAGTTATTATTCTGATGCTCTACCATGCATGGGTTCCTAACCAGGCTGCCCATCAGAAACAACTGGAACATTTTCGTCCCACACCTATGCCCAGGCAAACCCTGGATATTCTCATGTAGTTAGTGTGGATCAGAGGTCAAGCATTATTTTTTAGATGTAGGTGTTTTTGCTATGTACCCCATGATGAGAACTGCTGGGCCCCCAAAAGAGGCAAATGTCCTAGTTTCTGTCTAAAGCTACTTTCCAAGGATTTGTTTCATGTCCTGGTCTCCACATTTTCTTGGGAAGATTAACCTGGGAGATTTCTATTCTCCACAGAGGAGTTCTGACCACAGAAGTAGGACTTAGCTGTACATCAAGAGGTTAACCACCTCAAAAATGGTGCCTGTTATCAAATCTACAAAGTAGCTCTGGTCGCTGGGGGTGGGAGGCATTTCCATATGTGACTCTGTGCCTCTGCACCCCAGTGTCCCTCATCCTGTCAGAGGAAGATTGGGTGTGGCCAGATAAAGGTAAGTGTGGCAGGCCCTGGCTCAGGGCAAAGACTAGGGACATGCATTTCTCAGAAAGAGGACAGAAATCCAGGGCATTACTTTGGAGGGAGAAATGGCCTGGCTTCATATTAAGGGGGAGGGTTCTGAGCAAAGCAAGCTAGAACCCCAGGCCCAGCACTGCCCTCCCCATCTGAGTCTTTTTGCCAAAGTACTTTACCTTCCTTGACTCCAGAGTCACTGTCTTTAAAATAATGATAACGATTTAATTTGCTTATTAGGATATCTAGGAGGATCAAATGCTATAAAAGTGCTTTGTCATCCAAAATGGGGTCCAAAAAAATCACAGCATTGCTTAACAGTGAGTCAGAAATGCAGAATCTCAGGTCCCGCCCCAGCCTTGCTTCCAGAATCTTTATGTTCACAGGATCTCCAGAGTACCAAGCAAGCACACGGTAGACATTTCTTTTACCTAGCAGGCTCCCTGCTTCTCCTCATCTCCCTCCCTGTCTTTAATCAGCTCTGACTGTTCACAGTAAGTGATTAGGACCCCTAAGCCAGGTAGTGTAGTGTTGGAGATCAGTGGGGTTTTCCAGTAGCTGGGGTGCTCAGGGTCACTGAGAGTTTACAAGAAACAATGATGTGTAAGCAAATCAATCCCCTGACCATGACAGGCAGAGAATAATTTAAAATGAGGGGAACCCTGGCCGGGTGGCTTAGTTGGTTGGGGCATCATCCCCTATACCAAAGGCTTGCAGGTTCAACTCCCAGTCAGGAAACATACCTAAGTTGTGGGTTTGATCCCTGGTTGGAGTGCATATGAGAAGCAATTGATCAACGTTTCTCTCTTACACTGATGTTTCTCTCTGTCTCTTTCTCTTTTTCCTCCTACCCCTCTCAAATCAATAAACATAATCCTTGAGTAAGGATTAAAAAAACAAATAAAATGAATGGGAACCTACTCAAATGTCATTCCTGCCATGGTCCTACCCCTTGCTCTCTGCATCCCATTCATGGCATAGCAGCAAGGATTTTACAATCCCTGTCTCCTGATTCCAACCCTTTCTCCTGGTTTCCCACTCACAGGCCAAGGACGACCAACCAACCATCGTGTTTGGCTGGCCGACTGCTAACTACCTCTTAACTGATCTTTCTACACTTTCCCTGGCCCCCTCAAATCTGTTCACCCTAAAAGAGGAACACAGATAGCTTATAAACTCCAGACCAAGTATCAAGGGGCAATGCCAAAGAACAGGAAACTTTCATTGGTATGGTTTGCTATCCAAACCCCTCAGAGCAGCATTCTTAGCCCTCTTAGTCCCCATTTCCCACCAAAAAAGAATATTTGAAAGTCAAGAATCTTCTATTTAGGCCAAAGTGGCTTTTACCTAAGGAGAAGGCAAGGGGTAAAATGCTAAAGAGAAAGAGGAAGGAATAGGAGGAAAAAAATAGGAAGGTACAGTCAACTATCATGTTGCACCTAGTCCTAAGGGAAGGGGAGAAGTTTTAAAACACAAAGTAGACTATCTGGGTCAAAAGAACATGTTTGTACATAATCAGTCCTGCCCCAAAGAGAAAGAGTCACACAGGGAGGAGACTCGGAGCTAATTAATTGCTCAGCATCACTCAACTCTTGGATCAGAACATTATCTACATTCCAGATCCAGAAAACCTTAAGTGAGCCTGACACAAAGGAAAATTGGGAAAGAGCACATCTGTGAAAATCGGGCCAGGGATGTTGGAAAGTCCAGCTACCTCCAACCTTATGTTTATACCTTTTCCTATTTTTAGTCACCTGCCCATCCCATGTGGCCATCTTCTAAATGTCCTTATATCCCCTGTGTGGTCTCCACACCAGGGGCAGTGCTCACACCCAGTTTGAGATGCATGGGACATAACCTCCCCTGAGTGCCCATGCCCTCCTCTAACAAGTCAACAAATCCCTCTTTTGTGAGCAATAGGAGCTCTGGATACCTATCTATGTATTGAGAGGCAGTTATAGAAGCAGAAGAGATGGAGTATCTTGACCTACTTTGGGTTGAGTGACACATTTGGCCCTATTCCTTCTAACTTTGGTCTACCTTCGGGCCTGAACCAGCATGAAGTTTATGTTCTCTTTCTGACCCTACTCCAGACTGAGCTGTACCCTTGGCTGGCCCATCCTGCATAGAGCATAAATTTCCAATTACTTAGCTCCTACTTGCCTGGCTAAATTCTTCTTCCTGTGTCTTTTGCTTTTTGTGTTTTCTGTCCACATGTCTGCAACCCCTTTCAGCTCTTTTCAGAGAAAAAAAAAATCTTATGAATAAGCAACCAGTCCAATGTAGCTGTGCTTGTGGAAGGTCTATACTCAGAAGTACTCATTAGAGTCTACTTATCTGGTTGCATGCATAGGAGGGTGTGCTTCCTTCAATGGCAGGTCTTACATTTCCTCCATACCTCTACTAGCATCCTCATCACCCAAGTCTCTGAAGGGCACCACAGGAGGCAAGCCCACCAGAGTAAAAAGGACCTCAAAGATCACTTGCCTCAGCCTGCCATGCAGTCGAGGCATCCTCCTGCAGTGTGTTGGACAGCTGACACATTCTTGCCAATGTGCTCATATCAACAGTACACAGAAGTGGATGCAAACCAGAAGGGCCATGCTGCCCTTGCAGACCAGAAATGGATTCAGATGTGGACTTGGAGCACAATTTCCCTCCCTTTAGATCAACAGGGTTTCCCTGTTCAAGTTCACCTTACAAAAGACTGGTTCTTTCTGTACATTGAAAGGAATTTCACCAAGGCACATTGTTCCTAACACCGAACACTCTTTCAGAGTTAATGAGAGAAGCCACAGCTTCCTGGACAAGTGTACTTTTACCCATAAGCCTCCTCTGTGGTGCGCTAACCTCATGTCTAATTTCTGTCTGGGTGGATGGAATCTGGCAGCTGCTCGAGACCAGGGAGGGATGTCTTTCCTGGGTAGTGCCACTTTGGTCCCCAGCACCATAAGCCCATGTTTCCATTCCCTTTCATCCCTCTGTGAAGAGTCACCTGTAGTGGCTTCTGCTCTAGGATGGTGATATCTCGGGACACAGTGTTATTGCCATTTCGGAACTTGAGGGGGCGATAGACACAGCATATGGTGAAGCAGACCATGTAGAACAAATACAAGGCACCCAGCAGGCAGAAGTAGGGCCGCCCATATCGCTTCCACTTGAGGCTCACCAGCTGCTTCACAGGTGTCTGTTCCAGGATCTCTCGAGCCTGCCATGGAAGGAGAATGTGACTTGGGGGGGACCAACATAGTACACAGTGCTGGGTTTCTCATTGGGTCCCCAGATGGGCAGGGCGCTCACCAGTTATTACATCTTTCATTGAGTGAGTCAGTCATATTTTTTACAGGCAACTGGTCAATTTCTACTATATGCTAGGCCTTGTGCTATTGCTACAGGTAAACTATTATAGAATTGAACGCAACACACTATAGCATCAGGGAGGCTTTGAAGGATGAGCAGCAGAGAGTTGAGTGAAAGAAGAGTTGGAAAGATCATTCCATGAAGTAGTAGCAGTTGCCAAGGCAGGGAGGTATGAGAAGCCATTTGCAGGAGAGGTGTGCTTGGGGATAAGAGACATCATCCTGTTGGGAGTGATGGGTAGGAGTTACCGTGGATGAATTAGATAATGGCCAGATCATCCTAGATCATGAATGCTAAGGTGGGGAGCTTGAATTTTTCTGAACATAATGGGAATTGGGAGTTCAAGCAAGAAAGTAGCTAGATTTGTTCTAGAAGTCTTGTGGTCTGGAGAAGAGCGATGGAGGACCCAGGTCATAGGATGGGGCACTGACCTAAGACAGGTGGGTTGGTGCTCTGCTGTAACTACACAGTGAAAAGTTAAAGATACAAATGAGAAAGGGTGATGGATATCTGAGAAAGCAGAAGAAAGGAAAATTCAAAGCACAGTTGGAGAGACTAACCATTGGCAAAAGAATATCTTTTCCATTGAACCTAGAGAAGAGAGACAGTACCCAGTTCCCAGATATGCTTGGCAGGACAGGGCAGAAAGGTCAAGAGGCTCCAGGCATAAGGTAGGAGCCTGGGTCTTCTGATGGAATCAAGGCAGAAGGCAGTGAGGGGTATAAGGGAGCTAGAAAGGAATTTTGAAGAAATGGAAAACTGGCTGACCAAGACAAAGACAAAATCTATAGTAGAACACTGAGAGCCAGCTGAAATCAGAGACCAAAGATTTGTGGTGAAACCATCTACCAGAGGAGCTGAGGCTCTAATTCCTAACAAATCTGCACAAAGGTTATGTTTCCAGAAATGTTTTATGAGGAAGCTCATAGTTTGTTAGCCACTCACCTATTCTTGTGTTCATTAGAACTTACTGTGATCTGAGTTTATGTCTCTAGAAAGTTCCCTAGGAAATTATCAACTACCAGATAAATAACACAAGCTATACTTTGCCACTGTCTTGGAGGTTCCTGGAAGCCGGAAGCATTTTCTCTTCTCTTCTTGTCTTCAACACATTTTCTTTTCATTCATATCACTCAACTCAGCCCTGTCTGGATGGTCATAGCTTTTCCCTCACTGGAAAGCTCTTTTTTTTTCTATTCCTGGTGATTCCCAGCCCTTCCTTGAAGCCCCAGCTCAACTACTCCTGGCACATGGTCTCTGGCCCATCCAACCTCCACTTTGCTACCACTGTGTACAGCACAAGCCCCCAGGGTTGGTATAGTCTGTGCTCTACCACAATTATTGAGGAAGCCAACAGGCACGATGTTTTGTTTATTTCTATATTCTCAGTTCCTTGTACAGCATATGAGGCACAGAAGGTGCTCAGGATGCTGAGTGAATAAGTGAGTGAATGAATGAATGAATGATAGGAGCAATGTCTGTTTAGAGAGTTCCTCATCTGAAATTTCAGTACGAGAAAGGTAAGGGAAAGGGACTAGAGCTAAGCAGAGAGAGAGTGTGGTCAGGAAAAGGCACTGATTGGTTGATTGGACTTTTCTCCCAAATTCCCCAGGAGTATCCATCTGTTATCAGGTGAGGGAGTGTCTGGAGCCCAGAAACTCAGCAAATGGATGGACTCTGCCCAAACACATGACAGTCCCAGATCCTCCATGGCACCCATACCTCTCGTTTCTTAGAGGAGACCACGAGCTCCAGAAAGGACACCTTCTCTCCCCAGGAGTCGATCTCCGTGAGGTCATAGAGAGTGGAAGTCAGTGGCCCGCAGGTCCACTGGATGTGCTTCCGCTTCTGCATGAGGTGCTGAAACATCTGTGAGGACACAGCAGGGAGTTGGAGGATTGGTGTGTGAGAAGCCAGTCAAGGGACCATCGCTGTTGAAGAGCCGGGTGCCCACTACTTGGGACTGACCGACAGTCAGGATTAGGCAAGCCTTTGATTATATAAACCTACATATTATATTTTGGTTATCTCTTCTTCCCACAAACTGCATAAAGATCTGAAAGAAGAGAGCAGGCAAAGGGAGCAGAACTTGGGGTTCCCTACAGATCTTCTGAAGGACACATCTCAGGTCCTCCTGAGCAAGGGATTCCCGAGGCTGAGACTCTTAGAGGCCGAGTTGGAAGTGAGGTACTGCCACCTTTTGGGGGAGTTTGGGAGAAGGATCATGAGAAAAGCATGAGTTTGGGGGTGTGGCCCGCACCACGGTGTTGCCTTCTACTCCTGCCAGCTTGAAGGGGGTGAGGCCCTGGTGATTGGGCACGAGGTCCAGGGGCTGCAGGTGGCCTCCACGCCCGTCGTAGGACAGCAGCAGGTTGTACATCTGGCAGGCAGAGGTCTTGTTGGGCTGGAAGACGAGGATGTGCAACACTGTGTTTCCTGGGGAAGGGCACAGGTGTCACGTGGCCACAGGACTCACTGTCCCAGCCCCTCTGCTCCCCCCGCCTCCTGCTACCAGTGCTTACCCAGGGAGTCCTGGGCCCGGATGTTTGCTCCATGTTCGATGAGCAGGCGCACAAGCTCCTCGCTGCCCACGCAAGCAGCAAAGGACAGAGGGTGCTCCCCTGGGGACACAGAGGGCTCTGGAGCATGAGTGCAGGCTGGGGTGTGAATTCTCCCAGGGACTGCCTGTTCCTCCCCACATCTCGGTGCTGGGCTTGGGGACACTTGTCAGCAGAACCAGAGGCAGGGATGGTGCAGGAATGGCCTTAAGCCCTCCAAGGGCTGACCCTACCCCCCACCATCAGCCTCCCGGGCATGGGGCCTTTCTCTCTTGCCCACCATTCACCTCCCTCCCCTGAGACCTGGGCCCTGGCTCTCACCAAAGTAGATGTGGTTGTGGGGGCTGTGGCAGAAAGCTGAGCCTGTAGCTCTGGCTGAAATGCTGGCCCCATGGGTGAGCAGGGCTCGCACCAAGTTCACATTCTGGTTCAGGATGGCCACATGCAGTGCAGTCTGGCCTGGTTCAGAGAGAGCCCTCAGTCATGGAGTCTATGCCCAATTTTTTCAGGCACACCATCCACCTAGCTTGCAGGATATCCCTGAATGTATTTTTGCCCTTGGCTCAGCAGAGTGGCCTAGTGCCTAGGGGAATTAGTCCCTTGGCTGTCTACGGCTTGGCTGGTGGGTGTGGGGCATAATTGCAATCACTATAGTATTGCTGTGAGAGAAAGAAAGTCCTGTCTGTCCAGGCATATGAAAGGGGTTGAAGGGAAATAATAAATGGCTCAGGAAGCTATGAAAGCCAAGACCAGAACCTTTGTATTCTTTGCAGTTCGGGGGCCCTCAAGTGAAGACCCCTACTCCCTGTTCCCACCTTGAAAACCTGTGAATTTCCTCACCTACAAAGGGCTCACACAGGGTGGGTTCCAAGACCAGGTCTGGGGCAGCCTCCATCAGCACCAGGGCCACCTCCAGGTTGTCATAGAGGGCAGCTATGTGCAGCGCTGTTTCCCCCAGGGCCCCTGGAGCACATCAGGAAAAGGATGTCAAACCCTCCCCTTGTCCCCTTTGCAGGAACCCCAGGAGTCCTGGCCTTGGGGCCCGTCCTCACCCCAGCGAACTCTGAGCCCACCTCTTTGTCGCGAGTCACAGGTTCTGTCCACCAGAAGTCTTTTCAGGGTACACAAGTCATTGTTCTTGGCTGCCCAAAGCAGTGGCGAGTCTCGAATCCTGTGAGAAGGTGAACAGGAGTCAAGCAGAGGCGGAGCTGCAGGGAGGCCAAGAGCAGAGGCCTTATATCACATGCAGTCTTCCCATACCAAAGCTTCAGGGCTCACTGAATAGGAGGCTCTGCAGAGGGCTGCCGTTCCTAGGGGAGGAAAGCCTTGGCTACAGAATGGATGGGTGGCCCTGACGGACTGGAGAGAAAGCCATATGCCCGGGAGAATCCGTCTAAGCTGTGTAAACGTTTCAGGAACCTGGGGAGCTGGAGCAGGTCAGGAAGGTGAGATTTTTGCCCCCAGTTGACACTCTCACCTGCTGAACTGGCTGTGTTTCACCAAGGGAAGCTTGAGAGATCAGAACTGGGCAGGGATGAAGAGACTGACCAGGTGTTAGAGCTGTGGATGTTGGTGCATTGCTCAATTTCTGATTACCCCTCTGGACTGTTTGTATACATATCCCTGCTTGGGGGCAGGAAGAGTTTGGGGTGAGTTATGGAGGGTCTATTTTTTCTGGGTTTTGCCCTCAAATGGAAGGGTCTGAACACTCAGGTATGACTGAGAAGGAGCCCAGCTTGGAGCTTCTCTGATGACAGGACTCGGAGTGAGCAGGGGAGCCCTGTGGAGATGCCTGTCCCAGGGCACTGCCCCCAGTTCATCTGCCCTCCCTCTGTCTGGGTGAACCAGACACAAGAGAAGCTGAGCCAATTCTGCTGGGAAACGAAGTCTTAGCTGGCTATAAATGTGACCATGAGGGTCTGGCAGGTTGAGGGTCATGAGGGAAAGACAAACTGACTGATGACCATGGTGTCCCCCAGCCTCAAATTCCTCTCCTCCTGTCGTCACAGGGTAAAGTGTTTTACTTCAAGAAGCAGCTTTTTCAAATCTCAAGGGGAAACCCAGCTCTGCCCCCATTTAGGGAATCATTCTTAGAAGGCACCAGCAGTGTGAGGGACAGCCCCTGCCCCTCTCACCTGGACCCTCAGTCGGGGCAGCGCACCCAGCTTAGGGTGGCAGGCCTGGGCTTCCAGAGTTCAGCCTGGTGCGGAGGGCCCTGTACTCAGCCTCTTCTCCCTGGGCCTCCAGCCCACTGGTCCCTGCAGAGCGGGTGCTAGAATCCAGCTCTGTCTCAGAGACTGTCCTAGTCCACTATGAAGCAGGGGTGGAGGTGGGGAGGCCCAAGGTTTCATCCATCACAGGGCCTGGGTTGGGTGTCAGTGAGCAAGCAGGGGGCCTTTCCGGAATGAAGGCTTAGATTGCACCCGGCCCACTACTCAGTTTACAAGGCCCAGAGCAAAACAAGAGTGCAGAACTCCTTGTTTAAAAAATTACTAAGAATTTCAAGGTAACAACAGAAGTGCATTAAGTGGCACGCGGGGCTTTTCTGAGGCCCGGAGCTGTGTGGTGTTGGAGAGGCCACCTGTCCTGCTCAGTTCAGTTCCCCACTCCTCAATGGGAGATAAGACCGCCAAACAGTGGGAGGCAGAGGCCCGCCCACAGGATGAGTCTCTGCCCTGCCTGCGCCCCAGGGTCCGGACCTCAGGGCTAACAAGCCTTGAAATAATCTGCCCTCAGGTATATCAGCTCCACCTCAACCAAGCATCCCAGGAACAGACACAGGTTCCATCAGTGTCTGTGTCCTTGGTCCCCAGCACACCGAACTGCATCACACCGAACCACAGCATGAAGTAGACTCAGTAAAAGGCCAGTGAACTGACTTGGGGACTTTCCAGTATCACCTGGGCTTCCCTCCTCAGTTGGTAAGTTCCAGGTAAACAAAGCTCTTCTTTTTCCTGGCAATTTCCTTTTGTACTAATGCTAATTCCTCCCTCTTTCTTTAACCAGCAAGACCTCGGAAACCCACAGGGTCTCATCCATTCCCCTGCAACCTGCTCCCCACCAGCCTATACCTGCCTGCCACCACCCCTGACACACTGGCTTCTTCTATCTTGTCCCTCTGATCCCTCATCTTCCTCCTCTCTCATCAGGCAGGCAGGTGGGATCCCTGCCTATGAATCTACGGAATCCACTTTCAAGATCTCCATGCCAATCTCCACCATCCCCACTAGAGGGGCAACTGGGATTTGGGGACTGTAATGAGTGGGTTACGGGGAAAGAGCACATCCAAGTGCCTGGCACTGAATTCTGGGGCTAGACCCAAGAGGGCAGGAAGGTTTGCGGATCAGCGAGAGTTGGGATGCCGCGAGACTGGACAGCCTACCTCTTCTGTTGCAGCAGATGGGCCTCGTCCAGACGCTGATTCCAGTCTTTCTCTCGGAACAGCCAGGAGGCGAGACGTTTCTGGAAGTGGGTCCAGGACCCTCTCACCTGGGGCGGAAGAACACCCATGTCCTCTCCTTGCAGGCACTAGCAGGTGATGGGTGCCCAGGTAAAGCAGCAAGTCGAGCACTCAGCAGCTACTGAGGTAGTGGCAGCGTTTGCTCCGGGGTTAAGAGTGAGATTGAGTAGTGTGTGCAGCGTGCAGCTCTGGGTGTGTGTGTGATTGCATGCACGTGCAGTGGGACTGGCTGCTCCGCCAGGAGAGAGCAGCTTTACCTAGAGCTGGGAGGAGCTCTTTCTAGAACAAACCTCTGGGACACAGACCTGCCCTGGAGCCAGGGGAAAAGAGGGGAGGGAACTTTGTTTCCGGCAGTGGGCTGGGGCTAAGATCTGGACAGGTGAGGGGTGGGGCAGAGCAATCCGGACAGGGAGTAGGGTGAGAGGCCTGGAAGCTGGGTCCCTCCAGCTAGGCAGGCAGGGCTGTGGTGAGCAGGAAGTCAAGACCTGCAGCTGGGCCATCAGCCAGGCTAGAGCCCTGGCTATCTTAGCCCTTGCACATCAGTTAGGTGAGATTCTATGCCTCAGCCTGCTCATCTGTTCGCTCATGGAAGTGGCTGTGAAGCATGATCCTAAGGGCTCAAGGGTGTTGGTTCTCCGTCTACAGATAAGCACAGAAGCTCCTGGCCAGGGCTGCTTCTCCGAGTTGTGGTTATTTATCCCCTCCTCAGCCCTGCAGCCCTGCCTCACAGAAAGGGTCCGGACCACCCCTCCTTTGTGAGAAACCCATGTTGACTCCCTTTCCAGCTTTTTGGAGACACCTTAAGAGGAGACATACAGGGGACCTTGTGGTTTCACAGAGGCTGGACAACTCAAAGTGAGGACAGGTAGAGGAAGAAGCCCCATGTTTGAGTTTTTCCCCAGCAATAAGGCAGCATGAGGGATGAGTAAACCTGAGTGTTCTGTTATGATACCACAGTCCTTTTCCTTTTCCTGATTGTTTTCAAAGTGGTATATACCTATGACTGAACTTGGCCATTCAATAGCTTTAAGAGGTAGGTGGGACTAAGCAGGGGATTCTCTTCATTTCATAAATGGAAGACCAAGCCCAGAAAGGGAGTGTGATTACCCACAGCCAGCAGCAAAACTGGAACTGGCTTTCGAGTGGAAACCTTAGCTAGGGATCACACGCTATACCTTGTTGCTTCTTAGGAAACTTCTGCCTATACAGGTATGAGAGACTTGGGTGGAGATAGGCAGAGGAACTTCCCCCTTGGGGGTCTCCAGGAGCAAGGAAATGCCCCCTTCTTTTGCTGTAAGAAAGAAAGCATTTTTTCTAGTAGCTGAAGGGTGGACAAAATAACCTTTACAGAAGGATAAGAACTGAAAGGGAAACAAATAAGGCAAGAAAGACTAGATGCCCAATGCCCGAGACAAGGAGAAAGCACTCACCCACCCAGGGGAGGGGGTCACCTTGTGGGACATTTTTCTGCTTTGCTGGGGGTTGAGCAGTGTGAGGTGGTAATAGGCTCTGCAGCCTTGGGATTTCTAGTCTAAGGAGATGGAGGAGCGATAAGGTTGAGGTGGGGGTTGTAGATGAGCTGATAAGCAGGGGCGGGCACAGCAAAGGAGCTCCAGCCCATAAAGCTAATCTTAGAGGGGGTGGGTGTGGGGCGGCCCGGTCAGAGCTGCACAGAGCAGGTGTGCAGGTGTCCTTGAGTCCCAAAGGGGTGTGGGGTCTTCACCCTCTCACGTGCCCTCCTGCGCCTGCCCGTGCTCTCCAGTGGAAGGGTCAGGTACACGCAGCTCGGAGGGGACCAGGTGGTCCCGCCTGTCCCAGCCATAGACTGGAGACTTAGAACCAACTTCCCCATCTTTAAGGAGCTCTCTCTTCTCCCCGCCACTCCTTCACCTCTGTCAAATTCCACACCACTACCCTTCCTGTCCTTTGTCTCCTCTCACTCTTCTGCTGCTTTCTCAGCCTCCTATGGACAAGGACCCACCCCTTCCCCAAGCCTCTCTCCCTCAGGAAGCAACTTCCTGGTTCCACGAAAATGCCTCAAAGTCCAGTGTGACTCAGTAATGTCTCCCAGGTACCAACCAGTCAGGAGCAATGTCAAGTCCCCAAGTTCCTTGGTACCAAAGCAGCCAGCCTCTTATTCTGATGTGATAAGGAGGAGGAACGTGTGTGATAACTGGGTTTTAAGTCTTGGAAAATATACTCCCACCCCCATGCCTATAGCCACATAGAGGGAGGATTTGAAGGCTGTGCTTGAAAACATTAATAGTGATGCTCACTGGATAATGGAACTATTAGCCTTTTTTTTTTGGTTTTTCATATTTCTTAAATACTTCTGTAATAAAAAAATTAAAAGGATTCTTAGTTCCTTCAAAAATTTTTTTTTTAGCATGGGGAGTTGGGTAGGCTGGTGAGAAGAAATAGAATTTACAGTGGTCAGTAGAACCGGTTCTTTTCACTCCCTTCTGCACCCACAAGATGCTCGCCACCCCTAGATGCCAGCCCCATTTACGCTCACCGAGCTGGAGATGACTTCTCTTTCTGCCAGGAACAAATGGGCTCCTCCCCCCAAATAGCCACAAGGACATTAAGGATTTTTTTCCACCCAAGCATCATTACCTGGACCTGTAGGTCAATGAGTTCAAAGTAGGGGTGAGCAGGGTCACCTGCTTACTTGAATCTTTCCTCTCCCACCATTAAGTAACCTCTTATACTGCCCCCCAGCCCCCCATCACCTGGCTTGAATCACCAGAAAGTACATGAAATAGGCAACATGAGTTAAGATCTGTGGGAAGAAAGATCTGCCACACCCCATCCCAGAAAGGGTCCGTGCTTCTGTGCATATTCCTGCCCCTGCATTGGGTGGTTCATTCAGTTGGAATGTGCTGTGAGCTCATTGGGACAAATTGTGTCTAAAATCTCCTCTCACCTGTTCTTGTCCTCGCACCCCTCCTGTGTTGCATGGCCTGTATGTATCTGTTTCTGGTTTTCAGGACAGGCCTCCATCCTGTCTCCCCAACCCCATCCTGCCTCATCCTTAACCACCATCTCTGTCCCAAGAAGCAGATGGTAATTAGCCTCAGCCAGGGACTGCCAACAGGTAGGTCCTAGGCAGGATGGGGGTCATAGGCAGGGTGGGCAGCGGGCCACTGAGGCAGGTTTCTCCAGATCTGTTACTCAGGGCTCCTTTCCCCTCTACTGCAGTGAATCTTCTCTGAAGATTCTACCTCCTTCTACCAAGCAAGAAGTTTAGTGAATGAGACCCTGACAATGTCTTCTCTGTGTCTAAGAGTACATGAGGATATAAAATGAGAGAAGAGGTTGTTTAGTCTGTCAGTACAGGAAGATAAAGGCTAGTATGAAGGAGGAAGGAGAGCATGGGTTCCTCTTGGGCCCAGGGCACACTGCTGTCTGTCTCTCTGTCCTGATTCTCTCTCTCTCTCTCTCACATACACACAGCATGGATGGACCCTTTTCCCACTCTCCACTGAGGCCCCTCCCCCTCCCTCATTTTCAGTGGACCTGAGTTCCATGCATAGCCCAGGACTTGACAATTCTCATTTCTCTGTGTTGTCTGGACTTCCTCCCAGGCAAGCCACTTTCCTTAAAGAAAGGCTGCATGGGAGAGAGGTAAGCTGTGACATTTAGAATGAATGGAGTTCATCAACATCTTGAGCTGCTCATTGTTGTCTATGTGATCATGAGTGGGTGAGTCATTTGTTTTGTGAACCTCAGTATCCTCATCTATCTAATGGGTGTGACAACACCATTCTTTTGAGACCTGCTTGCTGTAAGGATGTAATGGATGTGAAAGCAGATCACGAACTCTTAAGTCACTGGTGTTGCTATCCCCAGGACAAGCCACTACAGTCATCTTCAAAGGCTCTGTTGTTCCCTGATGGCCACCCTCCATTTTCTTGCCCAGTGATGGAACTCTAGTGAACTGGAGTGAGTCATGCCATGGCTGTGATGTAACAGAGCTCATGAGGTCAAAGTCCTATAGAAGGGAAGGGAAGAAAACAGTGCTGGGAAGGGGTAAGGGCCAGGACAGGAACAGGGGAGGGAGGTGGCAGGTAGCCTGCTGGGCACTGGGGAGCAGGAAGGCCGCAGGCGGTGAACGGGCAGGCCCATGACTTCCCTGGGCTCCCAGCTCCTCAGGGCAGCATTTCTGGCAGCCCTCCTACTGCTGCTGCAAGTGAAAGGGGTGGAGCCTCAAAGAGGGAGCGCAGGCCCCAACGAGAGGAGTGAGAAAGAGAAAGTATCCTCTGCAGGTAAGTAGAAAAGGGGCACACCATTTGGAGTCTAGGGACCAGACTGTAGTCAGTTTCAGATTATGTATCAGGCTAGAGTGAAATCCGAGAGGTTTGAGTTGTAGGAGAATACTCCAGCCCCCCTATCATTGCAGTGCAATGGGAAAGGCCCTTGCACGGGGCCCCATTCAGGCCAGTGGAAACTGCATGGGGCTTTCATATGTAGGAACACAGATGCATCTGTCTGGGAACAGGGTCTCTGGTTTTCATCTTTCTCTAAGATGGCCCCTCACTCCCAAATGATGGAATGTTTAGGAGGAGGCAGTGTGAGTTGGAAGTTGGGGGCAGGGGGTGCGCTCTGGAGTTGGAGCTGTGGTTGCACACAGACCAGGAGGGACCTCCAGATGGAGCACCACCTCTCTGGTCAAGGACAAGGATATGGGCAGTTGATTTAAAAGCCCCAGGCCCTAACTGCTCTGGTGTTCTAAACTCCTTCCCCTTTCTGGGGCAGGCCTGGGCAGGTTAGGATCAGTGTTTCAGCATCTTCCCCTTAATCTTGTTGTAGACCAGAATCAAGAGCAGTACGAAGAGTACTTTGTGGCCTCCTCAGTGGGTGAGAAGTGGCAGAAGGTGGACATGGCCCAGCAAGAGGACGACAAGACAGTGGAAAGTGCTGCGGTTTGCGAACACCTATTTGACCTAGCCTTGTGCTTAAATCTGGCCAGCGCCATGGTTTTTTTATGAGGGACATTGAAGATGGAATGGTTTTCTGGGCCCTGGGTGAGGACCTGGATAGCTACCTCAGTTTCATGATAGCGTACTGACCCTCTGTCCCCTTGGGCTCCTGGTTACTAGTCCCCAGGGAGACGTCCAGCTTCCTGCCCTCCTCACCTCCCCCTGCTCTGAACTCCATCTTCCAGGGCCAGAGACACCAGACCTGTGCCCTCCTCTCTGGGGTACCTCTCCTGGCCTTGTTCAGTACCACAGATTAGGGGGAGAAGGCAACTACAATAAAAGCAATAGCAATAAAATTCTGTAAAACAGTCAGGCACAGATTTGTGAGACTTAATCAAAGCCCTCCTATCTCTAACTGGTCGTTTAATCACCTGATGTCTGGGTCACTGAGCATTAGACCTACCAGTTCACCCATCATTGGTTCTTTCCTTTCTCATGCCTGTGGAACTCTGCTTGGAAGTTTCTCCTCTTACCTTTTATGACTTTGGGCACAGAGCAGAGCAGGAAGGAGTTGTTAAGGTATGGACAGAAACCAAGTTCCAGATTTTATTTTTGGAGAAGAAGGGAAGGGAGACATCACCCTGATTCCATGGAGGAAGCACTGACACATCTGTACTGAGGTCTCTGGGAGCCAGGTTACCAGAGCTGGCAGCGGCGGGAGGGTTTCAGGAGGGCACCATCTGGACAGTGGAAATGTTTGGCAAAGGCTAGAGTGTTGCTGAGAGGCCCATGGACCCGAAGGGTAGGTGGGCTCTGAGTGTCCTGGGAATCCTGTGTGCTGAGCTCCCTACACATCACCTGGGAAGAAAAGAAGGTCCACAGAGAGAGAAGGAGAATAACAGGGAAGATAAGAGTCAGTAGGCACGACCTGGCAATGAGGTGGTGACTAGGGATAGCAGACAAAGACAACAGTATGGATGGGAATGACCAAGAGCCATGTGAAGAAAGGAAGAGTATCTACCAGCTGTAGGTAATTTAATCTAGCACTAGGCCTTCAGGACAGAGCCTGGCCTGTGGAATCAGACCATTTATAAGTGACCGAGGGGTGGGGTCTACTGGAAGAATTCTGTAAGTGGGAGTTTAAGCATATAAGAATTGGGGGCAGCATTAGTTGAGGGAGTACTTAGTTCGTGGTACTTGGATTATACCAGGTGGGGACCACATCGGGGGGGTGAGGTCTTTGAGGAGATATATAGTCTATAGACAGCCTGTTAAGGCTCATTTTTTTTTTCTAAGGAGTTTTTATTTCCAGAGAAGAAATGAAAGGGGAAAAACGTTGAGCTCCTCTCAGGGAGGATTTGGGAGTAGAGTATTGTTGGCATTGCTGTTTGAAGGGGATGCTAAATTGGGTAGAAGAATTTGTAGTATTATGAACGGTTAGGCCCCAGGGGCCATGTGTGAAAGGATGGTGGTGGGGGCATGTGGGGGGAGGTGCCTGAGGAGGAAGAGATGTTTGAAGCATTACTGAGAGGCAATTCATCTGACACAGAGCAAGCCGTTGGGGGAGATGGTGACTGCCTACCTGGGCATAGCTCCGGAAGAAGAGCTGCTGGGGGTTGAGGTCCAGGTTGGGCAGGGTGGTCTCCCCACGGTGCCATAATAGTCTCTTGTTGTATGCCTAGATATGGGGGAGGAATAGGGAGTAACCCTTAGGTCCCAGACTGGGTGCCCTATCCATAATACCAAAAACCCATTCATGGCTCCCTTTCCCAAGTTTTGCACTAACACACTGGTCTGAGACAGGAGAAAATGGACTTCTCAGAAAACCTACAGATATCCTAGAAAAGAGGGATCTGTTTGGTAGGAGGGGGATTCCCAGGTGGCTACTGTTCAGGGGGATGTGAAGGGCAGAAAGCTTTGTAGCTATGTTTGCATAAGGATGGTAGAAGGAAAAGTCAGGGACAGGGTGTCTGTTCTCCTGATAAAAGGAAATCCTGGCCCTTGGGGTGTGAGTCACCTGCAGTGCAATGGCCAGTGCCCCCACGTCAGCCGCACTCTCCAGGAGCGAGTGGAAGCCACTGAAGGAAGTTCCGCCATGTAAAGGAAAGGCAGCATAGTGGCTCTCCAGGCACTGCTGCTCCCTCTCTAGGGCATGAGTGTCACAGCCTGGGCAGTTCCCAGGGAGTACTGTTGAAAATGGGGCCAGGGGAGGAGACGGTGAGGCATGGTGCAGGGCTGAGGGTGTGGGGGCACCACAGACTGGCTGGCCCAGAGGCACTGCAAAGGCTTGGGACTTTCCCACCCGGGGCCCTTGCACACACTCCCCTTCTCCTCTAGGCCTGTGTTCCCCGTGGCCCCACCTCCCAATGGCTCACTGTTACCCACAGAGCTGGTCGAAGATGTGCAACAGCTCACGGGCCATGATACTGCCAGCAGCACCAAAGTTCACAGCCCTAAGGAGACAGGATGGGTCTTACCCCCAGAACCCTGTGACAGTTTTAACCCCAGTCCTCCGACCACAAGTCCCATCCATCATAACATCTGCCCATCTTTCTTAGGATACATCCTGCCCACCTTCATGGAATGGCCTATACCTGGGGTAAGCAGGGTGAAAGAATGGTGGTTGGAGGAGTCCGGCGGGGAAGACCACCACGTGGTCAGATGCTGAATAATAGGCCTTGACCCCCCAGGGAGACACCTGCCACCTGTGGGAAGAGCACACATGAACACCAGCTCCATCTTTTATTGCCCCTCCCCGAGACACAGGCAATAACCCAGCTACTTTCACTGTTCCTGTCTCCATGAGCCCTGGCTCGTTCCCTTGCTAATCATGGGTGGGCTTCTCTGAGATGCAGTATCTGTGTCTCCTTTGCTCTCATACCTGTGGTGGGGGAAAGGCTCCAAGAAGCTCTGGATGATTCTGGCTTGACGGGATCGAACACCACTCAAGAAGGACTGCAGGAAGTTGGGTCCAAGGTGCACCTGAGAGGAGGCAAGAGGCAACGAGTGTACAAACACACCCAAATGGCCTGCTGGCTACACTGGAATCCAGCCACATACGCCATGACACTCGGACATCCCCTGTACAGTGGAAGCCAGTACGACACCACCACACCACCAGAGGGTTAGACAGGCCTCATGGTCCACACACAGATGCACAAATTCAGGCAGGTCACGGGAATGCGCACACATATGTGTGCACACACACATCATGACCTGAAAATGTTACATTCTTTTGCTGGCAAGACCCACAGTGCCTGTTTGCCCATGAGGCCTGGTGGGCAAGGGGCCAGGAAGGGATTCTTTTGGACAACCCAGGGAGAATGAATTGTCTTCCACTCCAGGAGGTCAGCACGTGGGGGTGGTGGTGAGAAAGTTGAGGACAAAGGAGGGGTGGTCAGGGGCAGGGACCCACCTCACTGTATTTGTGGCTGGTGAGCACTGACGTCATGGCCCATCCAGGGGCCCCCATCTCTACCTGCAACTGGGTAACCTAGGAAGAGACACAAGGTAGAAGGAACCCAGCTTCCCTGAGTCTGTCAGAGGGCATTTCTCCTGCTCACTGCCCTGTCCCCACCTTTTATGCTGTCACTAGGGTGTGTGTGCCACATGTTGGTATTTAAACTTTCCATGTATCCTTTTGCCTTTTGCACTCTCCTCCAGCTACTGGAATCTTCTGGTGCAATACTCACTTCCACCCCCTGCATGTCCCGACCCTGTCTCCTTCTCCTGGCTCACCCGGTCCTGGGCCTTTTTCTGGGTCTCCTCATCCATCCAGGGAAGCTTTCGGAGACGGGTAACAAGGGCATCCTTGATGTCAGTGAATAAGTCCATGGCCTGTGGGTGTGAAGGGGCAGGGACAGAGGAACAGGATAAGGGTCAACCTTGGTCTTGGGTCCTGCACACTAGGCCTCTGGGAAGCGGCCTTGGCCCTGAAGAGCTGCCAGAGAAGGGGGACAATCTCAGAAAGAGAAAGCAGAAAGTGGTGTTTTTTAGGTGGCCAAAAACCCAGGGTAGAAAGATCTGCAGAGACAGTAGGAACTGGTCACTCCTGAGGGTCAACAGAGGAGACAATTTCTTTCCATGGGGAGATCTCAGCTTGCTGAGGTGGGGGAGACCTGGTCCTTACTCTTGGCCAGGCAATCCATGCAGAAAGCAGAGGAAGGATGAGAATCATCATTCTGTCTCTTCTCTCAGGCACCCTTGTCCTTACACCCCCCTTCTTAAGGCATGCTTTTCCCCTCTCCACCTTCCTGGGTGCTTCAGCATCCCAACAAGCTGCAGTCTCCCTGGCTTCACAGCCTGACTATAGAGTTATTGCTTCCCCAGACATCTACCATCTTGTGTATCTTTTCTTGATGGAGGAGAGTGGATGACAATATCAGGAGCCTGATACTTAGCCTTTCTGTGCTGTAGTTTTCTCTTCTATAAAATTAGGATAATGCTAGCAATTAAAGTAGATCAAGCAACATGCTTATGAGAGTACCAGGCTCAAAAAGTATTCAGTGGTTATTTATTTTCACTTCTTAAGATCGTATCACCCCATCCTCATGTTGTTTCCTGAGTTGTTAAAAGATCATAAACAGGGAGTAGCCTCCCAGGTCATCGAGTTCAGTTTTCTCATTTTATGGTTGAGGAAACACAAGAGCAGGAAAACTGGGTGACCTCTCCAAGGTAGTGCATGTTGTGTAGCCTTTGTGACCCCTGGCTAAGCTGTGCAGACTCTGGGGATGTAGCATGTCCTTCTTTGGGTTTTCTCTGCATGACTGCCTGACCCCTTAAATGCATAACCATCAAGAAAGGCAAAGTCAACAGGATTAGGAGACGATGGGTTAGGTGGGGAGGGATGCAGGGACAGGGGCTTAGGAAAAGCCCTCACATACAGCACTTTGGGTGCTCGGGCTGAAGGCCTCATGGACAAACAAGACTGCCAGGGTAGGCTCAAAGAAGGCTCCGGTCTCCTCCACGCACTTCATCTCTCGAGTGTAGGCTGGCTGTGGAGGCAAAGTGGGATGAGTGGTTCCCATCAAGGGTCTCCCGCATCTGATTTCCCAGGCCCATCCTCTCTAGTCCTCCCCCCAGCCCCAGAGATTGCTCTCTTTTCTGGACATTCTGGGTTTGTTTCACTTGACTCAGTTATCCGTTTTAGGGGGCACACATGGGTTCATTGCTGCTCAGCAACAAAGAAGCTTAGTTTTTCAGGATTAGTCTCCTGAGCCTTGGTTGGGCAAGTGATCCTTATTTATAGCCTACTGAATTTGAAAGCAAGGACTCTGGGAGGCTTCTTTATGGAGAATGGAAACACTCCAGGGAAGGAGTGGACTAGGTACCAATCCTCTCATGTTCTTTGGCCACTTCATTCCCACCCACCACAGGCATCGCACTGGGAGCCCAGCCATGTGCCCCGTTCCCATGCTTCTTGGTTTAAAATGAAAATTAGAGAATAGAATTCCTCTCTCTCTTCCACTGCCTTCTCCCAGTCTCCAAATGGTTATCATGGATCATATGTCTTATAAAGAAAGTTATCAGAGTGAAATTGGGGTGCAGATGCCATCCCGCACTTTGGTAGGAGAAGAGGACCAAAGAAAAGACTGAAGATGTGAATTCAGAGAGCTAAGATGCTTACAGCCAGAGCCAGATGGAATAAAGAGAAAATAGGATGAGATGGGAGAGATCTTCAACCTCAAAGGTGGGGAGACAGTTGGATAGAAACCCAAGAGGCCTCTGGCAGCTGGGGTGTTTTTTTCACAGCAGGACAAAAAAAAAAAATAAGAAAAAGAGAGATGCTGGGGAGGTTTCAGTGGTGGGCCTGGCTGGCTTGGAAGAGTCTGCTAAGGGGTAGGCCCAGAGATGACAAGAGCAGGTTGAAAAATTCATTCCAGGGTCCGGGGTGGGAATAAGAGAGCTGGCCTAGGGAAGGCTGGGCTAGGACTGAGGAAAACCAGCTAATATGCTAATTTGGGCTAAGTAGTGAAGTCACAAGACTTCATTCCTGTAACTGATTTACTCCCCTTAGAGCTCCTCTCAGGAGAGGGAGTTAGGCTGCCACTAAGTTCTTCCAAGACTGGAGAGAGAGTGCCCAGGGCTCTCACAAAAGAGGGCCAAGAAGGAGAAGGCCAGTAGTGTCTTCATGAAGAAGGAAGTCCAGGGCCTGTCTATTAGGATGTTTATCATTTTGCAGGTGGCTCCAGACTTGGTTGCTCATACTGTGTGTTCTTGTCCCCTCGCCATGAGACCTGTTAAAAATCTTGTGAGAAGGGAATGAGATACTTTCTTTAATGTATTAATTGCTGCTCTGAAATATGAATGCAAAATGCAAACACAAGTTGAAAAGAAACCTGGGTCTGATAGTAATGACTGGGTCAAGTGCAGGCTCTGCTGGCCTCCTTCGGTGTCCATTCCCCACAGGCCTGCCTGCAACAAGCTTGGCTTTGAGGTGACACTGGGCACAGCAGCAAACAGCATCTGCCCTTTCCACACCTCCTGGTCCTGGAGTAGTCCCCTGATCCCTTTCACTGGTGCCTGCCTCTTTCTCTAACCGCCTTTGCCTGCTACATACCAGTCCCCATGGCCTGGGCCATGGCAGTCCTTGAGCTGGTTGCAGAGAGCAAAGATGCTGCCTCAGGGTCACCCCTGTGCCACTCTAGGAATCATTAAACTGACTATTTTTTAAACACTTGGAAAATTACATGCAATGACTGAGGGCCAACCTAGGATCACTGGGGACAAATAAGAAAGTAACAGCAATTTCTCTGGTTAATAGGTTCACCACATTAGGACATACCACCAACCAGGAGTCACAAAGTCAAATAGGGGCCATGAGGTGACATAACTGAGAGAAGTTGACCAACATCAGAAGCACAGGATGTGGAGGGACGATGGCAATTAGGGGAGAGCATGCCCAGTCCAAACTGAGCTGCTGCAAGTTTTTGTCCTAGAGGAGGCTGGCCCAGCTACGCCCAAGCATCACATCACGTTTGGAACAAGGGATAAAAATCTAATTATTGGTGTGCTGTCTCCTCATTTTTGAATCTTGGTGATTAATTAAAAGTTTATAAAAAGCTTCCAAGGCCAACAAGACACAGCAATAGGTCAGGTCCGTCCTCTAGGACCACCTCAGTACTACCTCTGCACAGAGAATTCAGCATTTACCAAATGTCAATTTGTAACTTAAACCTCAGTACTTCAGACATACCAGCTACAAAAGTGAGCCCAATACCTGCTCCAACTTTCTTACAGAGCCACTTAGAAAATGAGATGAAACAACACATAGAGAATACTTTGTAAAGTCTAAACTATCATCCCACTTGTATGATTTTGATTTCAAGAAGACATTTGATAAAACTGCAAATTGAATCCTTATGAATCAGATGGAAAGATCTATGTTGGATGATAGCATAATTTGAGTGCATTCTCAGCTGGCTGAGCCATAACAAAACATCAAAGATGAGCCCTGGCTGATGTAGCTCAGTGGATTGAGCATGGGCCTGTGAAGCAAAGGGTTACCAGTTTGATTCCCAGTCAGGGCCAATGCCTGGGTTGCAGGCCAGGTCCCCATTAGGGGACACATGAGAGGCAACCACACATTGATGTTTCTCTCCCACTCTTTCTCCTTCCCTTCCTCCCTCTCTAAAAATAAATAAATGAAAAAAAAAAAAAAAACATCTAAGAGGAGTGACTCCAAGATTATATAAGCTTCCCTGACCGGGACTATGGAAAATTGTAAGATGCTTCCCACCTAACACAGCCTCTCTCTTTTTCCTGTTTTATTTCTCCATAACATGTATTACCGCCTAAGGTATTTTTTTAGTTAGCTTATTGTCTTTCTTCATCCATTAGAATATAAGTGCCTGAGGGCAGAGATTGTTGTCTATTTTGTTCACTGCAGTCTATAGTGCCTAGAGAAGTGTCTGGTGTGTAGTAGGTGCTCAGTAAATATGGGCTGCATAAATGAATGGATAAATCTATAGGCCTAGCTTGACCCAACACTCTTCCTCTTCAGAATCTTAACAGTAGTCTAGACTGTAGATGAAGATACACTATAAAACTGCAAATGACCTAAAGTGGAAACGAAAAGGTAATATAATGGATGATTGAAAAAAAATGAAATTACCAGAATAATTTGGGCCACTGGGCTATATATAAATAGTTCATATTTCTTAGGTACAAATGTGAAGCTCTACTTTTATTTCCCCAAACTCAGCTTTCCAAATTTAATAAGACCTAGCTTAATAACCATTTTTATTGACTGGATATTCAAAATTCATAAAAAAAAATATGGTCATATAATGAAACCCAGCAGTCTTTTTGTATAAGGCTACTACTAAGTAGAATGCACTCAAAAGAATGTGGTTAGATATCTATACTTAATAGCCATTGAATAAAACCATAAATTCTGGTCAAATTAAAACCAAAACCTTGGTTAATATCCCCAATTCCACTCTCCTTCTCACAGCACACATCTGTCAGGTAATCCTGTCACTCACTTCCAAAACACATTCTTTTATAATATGCCAAAATCCCTACAGTGACCTACCAGGCCCTGTATGCCCCCCAACTTCCTACTCTGAACTCCTCCCTACTATAGTCCTATTTGTACCCTCTTGTCCAGTTGTGCTGGCTCCCTGCTGATCCTCAACCCACTGGACATGCTCCCTCAGCAGAAAGTCACTCTTCTCAGCCAGAGCCAGGAGGACTTCCCATAGTGTACCACGTTTTAGCCAGCCAGTCCCCTACCTTGACCCAGGGAAATGGTAGCCCTTTCTTTGCCAGAAAGCTTCAACTCTCTAGACCTTGCTTCCATCCTGCCTCTTGTAGAGATCCTACAGGTTGGTCAAACCCACCCAGACCTCTCCCTCTTGGGAATTTCAGGAGTATCTCTTGTCCAAACCAGAGTTTCCTTGGAATGTACCTATGCCCTTTCATTTACTTGTCGTACGCCGGCTTTTGTGTTACAAGGACAGAGTTGAGTGGTTGCAGCACAGACCACAGACCAAGCTAAAAATTTTACTATCTTGATCTTTACAGAACTTGCCAGCCTGTTTTCTGTGCCACACTCATTTTTTAATCCTGCAGAATACATGGTCAACAACATGGCCTCATGAGCTAGATGAGTTGTTCTGGTGTCTGTTCCTTCATTCGGAGCTGTGTGGTCTTGTAAAAGTTACTTGTTCACTCTGAGGTTCTCAGAGTGTTTCTGGGAGGATTAGATAAAATCATTTATGCTAAAAGTTGCACACAATGAAAAGAGTAGCTACACAATGTATATCAGCTATTATCACTATGCGTCATATTTGGTACCATTGTTTCGGAGAGGTGACGTGCCTTCCCCAAAGTGACACAGCTGTTTGCTGGTAAAACTTCATTTAGCCTTTAAGCCTAAGAACAATGATACATCCTAATCAATGCAGTGTGTGTGTGTGTGTGTGTGTGTGTGTGTGTGTAAAGGATGGCAGCTTTAGCAATTTGTAAGTCATCTAAGTTCGAGTGCCAGTTTCAGTTGTTGGAGCTCTTTCCCTTTGGTCAAAAAGTGTCATCAGGCCACGGTTCTGGGATTTACCGGAAGCTGTTCATTGCCAGGGATTTTATAGCAACCCCAATACCCCAACTAAGAGGAGTGAGGACACTGCTCTTCTTCATCTGAGTCGAGAGAAAGTCTGAGCAGAAGGAATCTTCTTGGGGCCTTGCCCACATCAATGAGAGTCCTAAGGAGGAGTGCTTTTTTGCATTTCTTTTTAGCACAGTGATTAAGCACACAGGCTCTGGAGCCAGGCTGTCAGAGTTCAAATCCTAGCTCTTCCAACCTACTAGGTATTCTACCTTGGCCAGGTTCCTTAACTCGTGTGTCTTGACATCCCTGTCTATAAAACTGGGACAAAATGATGTGCCTACCTCCTGGGAAAGTTGTGAAGACTGAACCAGCTCATCTATCTAAAGGGCTTAGAAAATTGCCTAGCACATAGTAAATTCTCAATGAGCAATAAGTAAACTCCATGTCCTATATATACCTAGCCCCTCTCTGAATTCCATAGGTGTTTCTGGTTGCCAAAGCAGTGAGCTTCTCCAAGGCAGAAAAGTGGTTCATAAATTACTGAAAAAACACAGTGATTTTCAAGACTAAACTGAGACCTTCACTGAGGTTGGGGTGTCTCTAACACACTAGATGCCTCCAGTTGCATTTGGATGTGTCTAACCCAGGACCTCACCATCCTCTGTGGAGGAGTGTCTCTAGTCTTACCTAACACAGTAGACTTTGGTAGGTGGAGTGCACTTTTTCTGTAGTCCCCTCCTCAGGTATACTGACATCTGTACCACAAACCCCATAGTGAGGCCCGACAGATATCACTGGATGTCAGAGATGGATTCTTTGTGAAGAATTTGAGCACCAAACACTGGTATCACCCAGAGAGAGAGGAAAAGCCACTGCTTGCTACATCTGTCTCTCATTCTGTCCTCCAATCACAGAGCTCAGGAGAGTGAGGCAAATAGCTTAAGGGTCATGACACAGGAAAAGTACCTCTTGAGGATCTTAGAGTTCTATATTTAAACTTCCATACTCAGCAAAGGGTCATAGACATAGCCAGGTGTGTGCCTAAAAGGTCTGGAGCCTTGTACCTGAGTTCTCAAGGTAAGCGTTGCATGCCCAACCTGTCTGCTTCCACGGGGAGCCCAGACATTGAGAGGCACTTACCCTCATGTCCACTCCCTGAGAGCAACAGGGCAAAATGCACACCTCACAATGACAGGTGCTTCTTTAGCCCCCAGTCCAAGACAGTTCCTCCCCTCCTCTCCTCACCACACGTGGCCGTCCCGTTAGCTCCTGAAGTTTCTGGTTCAGCAGTTTGCGTGCCTCCCGGAATGGACTGTTAAGTGCTGGGGAAAGGGTCCCCACCAGTCCGAAGATCATGTGGCTCTGCAGGAAGTTACTGTGGAGGAGAAAGAGACCCACACTTGCACCCCGGTGCTCTGGGGATCCCTAAAGCAAAGCCTCCCCTTGCCTAAGTCCCCTGGACTCTGAGGAGAAGCTCCTGCTCCTCTGTATTTAACGACTATTTGTGAAAAAATGAAGGAGAGCTGTTCTCTGTGTGGAATGGAACTGATTTAAAAAAAAAAAAAAAAGAACTAGATGAAGAGTCAGACTTCTCAAGTCCCAGGAAGAGAAGGATCTGGACTAGACAAAGGGTGGGCTTTTGAGTTTGCAAAACTGATTCATCTATTTCCACAATCAAGAAACCTCCGCTCATTTTGAGATGTGTCTTCCAAGCACAACAAAGCTGAGTTCAGGGACCTTTCTCTGCCCTGCTGGCAATTTGATTAGCAGGTTGGCTTTGTGCCCTAACCTTAACCTGCTCACACCCACATGAACGGTTGTCTGCTTCTGTCAAGAAGCATCTCTAGATGTTGCTGCCACTGAGTTTCTATAAAGAAGGGCCCAAGCCCCTGGGCAGAAGCCCCTTCAAGTGGTGGCCACACAGGTATCAATGATGGCAAAGAGCCCCACTCAGAGTCTCCCCCTCATGTACCCAACTTCCTTGAATTTCTGACCTTTCTCACAAGGTCTCTAGAATCCTCTCACCACAGCTGGAAAATGGCCACTCCCTCAGCTTTTCCCCACAGAGCAGCCTAGCCTTCACTTCCTCCATCTGCTCATCTTATTGCCTCCTACTCCTGCCTACACCCATCAGTGGCTAACAAGATTATATCTGGCCAAGCTGTCCCCATGATGGGCCTTCCAGCATCTCCTATAGCTCAGAGGCTCTTTACGGGCTGGGTTCTACTCCCAGCAAATCCTGTGTCTTTCCAGACCCCTGTATCCCTCATTTCATGCCTGTTTTCCCTTCCCCGTGACCCCCAAGCCTCCAAGCCTTCCTCCGTTCCCTTTATGGCTGTCCACCCAACCCCTTCTGTGGCCCATGTGTTTGAGTCTCTCCTATCTTCTGGAGGCCCTTCCCAGCCTGCATTCTCCAAAGTCGTCTGTACCCCTAACACCTCTGTACCTCCCCAATGCCGCCTGGTGCCAACCTGTGGCTTGACAGCTGTTCTTCCACCAGTTGTGACATGTTTTTCAAATAGTCCAGGTCATGGACCACAATGGTCTGGGAGGGGCTCAGGGACATCTGTGTGAATGTTGCTTGCAGGCAGGACAACCAGTCAATGGCAGGGGCCATTTCCTTAGAAGAAGGACACACAGGCTGAGGGGAAGAGGAAGGAGGAGGGGGGAAAGGAGGAAGATTTTCCTATCTCTCAGGTTTGAGGGGAAGCAGGGAAGGGATGGTTAGGGATGGAAAAGAATTGAGGGAATGAGGAGGAAGAAGGCAAGGAGATGAAGAAAGTTTGGGAGAGAGAGCTTCATGCCCATACTCCTCCAGTCCCTAGTTCAAGTCACCTGCAGCTGGTTTATAGTGACCATCTGGAAGAGCTTTTCCTGCGCCTGCTGCTGTTCCAGGGGCCTCAGAAACTGGAACAGCCGTGAGGTAGTGGAGATGGACAAGAAGGCATGCTGTTCCACTTGGCTTGGGTCTCCTCCTAGCAAGGTCCCCAGCTGGTTCAAGTAAGTCAGGTATGTTCGCACGATCTAGGGGAGGGGTAATCTCAGGTATAGCCACTGGTGGCCCCACCTTTCTCCTAGCATCAGAGGTCAATCACCTTGTCCACCAATCCATCTTACCTGGGCATAGATCTTCTGTTCCTGGTTTTGCTTGAGGGGAACGTCAAACTCTGGCTGGTCTATCTGGACACAAGAGAGACTGGAGAGAAGTGGATGTGTGGAGGAAGGAGAGGACAGGTGTGGGGACATGGGGCCTGTGCCATGCAAGATGGCCTCAGGAAATAGAATGGAGAGGGTGAGGAGAAGGAGCAAGAGTCCCAAGAAAGGAATGGGCTGGGGGCAAAGGGCAAGGAAGGAAAGAGTCCAGACAAGGAACTGTGCAGAGAAAGTGGGCATTTCAACCAGTTTTGGGGTGCTCAGCAAGAGAAGCCTAATAGTTCATTCATGTCCTGAAGGGAATCACTTCCATGTGAGGGCCAGGTCTGGATGTAGGGGTAAGATGCCACTCCAGGTGCAACATTTAAGAGGTGCTAAAAGCTGAGTATCAAAATAACTAATATCCTCATCGATATTTTAAAAAATCAGAGTGGATGCTAAAAATCTATACTGATTAAAACAGCAAGGCTTTGGTCACCATGGAGGGGGAGCAGGTTTTCCCCAAAACCCTCAGTGTACCTTTGATCTGCTTTTTTGAAAAATTGTAGATGTTTTCAAAAAAGTCTACAATAGAGTTTTAATTTTGAATAAAAGTACCCTTTTTCAAATAATCCACGATGAACAGAAGTGAGATGTTTTGTCAATCATGGATTTTTGCACTAACTTTGATGGAAGTCAATAGGTTTTTAAAACCTATTCATTAAACTATGGTTTATCTTGACCACTGAGCTTTGGGTACCCTTCTAAATCTTACAGCCAAGTGACTTGCTCACAGGCCTGGCCTCACCTTAGTTCTGGTACTGGCATGTCCTTGACTCTATTTTGAAGATTGTTTCTCTCACACTTTCCTTTTCCCACTTTAATATCCACCCCCGCCAGCTTGAGCTCTATCCCTACTTTGAAAAAACTTTCACCTGACTCCTTTGTTGTTGGGAACCACCCAGCCTGGTTTCAGAAACTGCAACCCCTCAAAGCTAAGCCTGAGTAAAAAGACCTTGGGACTATAAACCACTTAGACAAAGCTTATCTTCCTGGCAGGAGCCCCACCTCTGCCCACTTTCACTTCACCTTGCTTGGCCCTGGGCAGATGACTGGTTAGCCACTGACCAGTAAGATTTCTCAAAGGAGGGATGACCTAAGACAGGCATAGTCTTGAAGGGGCTGTCAGGGAAGAACTTGGGGGGCTATAGAGAAAGGGGGTAATGGATCCTCACCCCTTGACTTTGATATAGTCTCATAATCTCTTGGCTGCCTAACTTCCTCTGCCTGACTTAAGCCTGAAACAATGCTGGAGGTGGGTGCAGCCCTGTTCTGGAAAGGGCAGGTTTCCTGGGGCAATCAGGTCTAAGAAAGAATGCATAAAATTCCATGAAACCTACTTTGCTAATACCCTCAATTTAAATGATAAGGGTCCGGGCCTGAAGTGAGTTTGTTCCCCAAAGTTTTATGGCCCTTTAACTATCTGACCCTGACTCAGAATAAGCCTCCAGAGCTCCTCAATGTTATCTATTGTTTAATCATTTCTGCCTGACAGTGATTGATGAGCTTTACATATACACCCTGTAATTCCTATGCAAATTAAACCCAATAAAAGCCCATTGAGGAACAGGTTCTTGGCTCTTCTCCATTAAGAGATAAGCCTCCATTCAACCCCAAGAAGATTACATTTTGGTAGACTTATTCTCATCCGTGGTCATTGGTGGGGGCAGTGGTGGGGGTGAAGGCTCTGTGGGAGGAGCCGCCCCCCTTTGTCACATGTTATGTCCAAACTAAAGAACTATGTTCATCTGTACCGCTATTTCAGCTTCCTCACCTTCCTCAGAATGTGTGCAGGACCCCTGCAAATTTCCATAACCATTTCTGATATTATCTCTAGGAGGATCCCAGTACTATCTCCTCATCCCTTTATTCTAGGGAGTTCAGAAACCTTAGAATCTGTGATGAGCCATTCCTCCAGAAAATGGCTCCTCTCCTGTCCTTTGTAGCTCACCCATGCTGGTCTGATTCCCACCTCACTGCTTGTACTCGCTCTTCTCTGCCCTTACCCCCTCTTTGGGCTGGGCCCTCTGTAGTCCATTCTCTCTGCCCATTCTTCTCCCCAGAGGCTACCTGGTATCAAGTTGATAGTGGCCACCCTCCTCCCATTCACACCGAATCAAAACTGGGGTTGGAGTAGGGTCATTTTCTGATTTTTCTGCCTTTTTGTGTATTCAATTTGTTACCAATTCCACTAGACCATGACCACAAGAATAAAGTCACCTAAACCTTTAGTCCATTCTGGCCTTTCCTTTCCATTTCTACTGCAAGCATCTTAGTCCACAGCCTGAAAATTGTTCAATTTCTTAGCACCTCCAGGTTGACCTCCCAAACTGCTTACTCTACTGAAGCTCAGTACACAACCATTGTATTTGAAAGCTCTTTTTTAAATTTTCTATTGTCAACAAATATCATCTCAGTCTGGCTCCTTACATATGGAATAATTAGTCCAATTTGTGTCTTCAGGCTTCCTTTTACCTCCAACTGCATACACCCCTTAACCCCTATTCACCAGACCTGCTTCCTCACTGAACCCACAGAGAAATCAGATCATCCCAGGGTCTTCCCTTAACTCAGGACTCCCCCCTGCTGCTCTTTCCTTGTCCCTTAGCTTCACCTTTACCTGTGTGAACCAACCATGCTTCAGGGCTCAGCTCCCATTCTCTCCTCTCTGAGCCTTTCCTTAACCATTTCAGATCTCAACCAATCCCCAAAGGCCATTAATCTTCTGGGAACTCCCTTCAGAACTGAAGTCTAGGTCACCTCGTACTTGTATATTTATCCTCTTACAAATCTGTGAAATTTTTGAGAACAAAGTCGAATACATAGCATCACATTGCCTACCACAATACCAATGCCCTCAATGTTTTTATTTATTAATTTACTCAACAAACACCTAGTCTAGTCCTCTAGCTGCCTGGCCTTGTGCTGAGGAACAAAGGTGAATAAGGAGTGGCCTTGCTTTTAAGAGGCTTAAGTCTTCAATACAGTGTTAAATGCTGAGAGCATGGGTAGGGGGGGAAAGTGGCATTCCCTAAATCTAGCAAGGGTATCAGTAAAGAATTCTTAGAAGAGATAACAATGTAAGCCAAAATTTGAAAAATATGTACATTTTCCAGGCTGAGGGTAGAAGATTGGGGAGTAGTGTTGCAGGCAAAGGGAATCATATATTTGAAGGACTGAGGAGCTGTGAGTGAGCATGCCTTGGAGTTTAAGGGGCAGAAGAGATGTGAAGGAGTTTGAGAAATCTGTAGGAATCAGACTGTAAAAAGACTTGCAAGGTTTTGCTAAAGCAATTAAGAACTAGATCCTGATGATCTGGTGAGCTGACGGCATTTACACAGAGATAATAGCATAATTAGCTCTTGATTGAGAAAGCCCCTTGGAAGAGAATAGAGTAAATAAGAAAAGGGTAATATGGGAGATAGGAGTTAAGAGGCTTTGGGGTAATCTGATAAGCAAGGAAGACCAAAACCACATCTGTCTTCCTAGGACCAGCCTTGGTACTCCTTCCCTTGCCTAGTGTCCCTGACTCTCACATAAATAATTTGCCCTAAAGATATTTTTTTGCCCTACCTTACACATTTATCCCATCTCCCCCTACTTATAAGAGATGATAGGCTAGAATTACAGGCAGGCCCAGGTCTCCCTGCATTTTTACCAGGACATTCCTCACCTGGATGATTGGCATGTGTGGAGGGGTGGGATGAGGTCCCAGATAAGCTCTGAAGAATGGGAAGTGATCATACTGACTCATCAGAAGTCTCAGAGTTCGGTTGAAATCTAAAGAAGTCCAATTACTGGAGATTGGCCAGCCTCCAAGCTGGGAAGAAGAGAGAAAAGGCTTCAGCATACTGACCTTCTGTCCCCCATTCGTCAGATAGGTGCTACTTCCTGACTTCTACTCTTGATTTCTTTGATTGCTCCAGAGCTCCACCTCTATCCTTCTTTCTCCAGCCTTACCCAAGGTCCTAATATTTCCACAGGGCATTGCCCCATTTCCATCTCCTTCCTACATTTTTGGGATCCCTAGAAAAGAGACCCACCCTCTAGAAAATAAAACGGCAGCCCTGAGCATACATTGGTCTTATATAATGTATCATGCCCCATGAGAGAAGTCATGCCCCGCGCCTCACCTCCTCAATCACCTGTCTGAGGGGACCAGCCCCTGCAGCCTCAATGGCATCTGTGTCCAAGCAGGAGTGGTAGAACTGGAAGGCTTTTTCCTCCCCAGACCCTAGGGGCCAGGACCGGGGGGCCTCTAGAAAAGAAACATGGGTAATTACAGGAGTGGGACCCCCATAGAGACAAGAAGAGAAGGTATGAGACAGGGAAGTTATAGAAAGGAAAGGAAAGACTCAAAGGGAAAGGGAAAGGAGGGAAGGAACGGAGAGGTAAGGGAATATGGAAGACTGTTCCATTTGGACTAGACCGTCTAGATGGAAGGGTCAAAGCAGGGAAAAGAGTGCAGAGAAGACAATGAGGAAAATAAAGGGAGGATAAGAAATAAAATAAGGAGGAAAAGAAAGGGAAGAAAAGAAAGAGAGAAGAATAAGTGGGATATAGATAAAGAAGGAAGGGTAGAAATGGAAGGCAGGATGGAGATGAACAGAAGAATTCGACAACTCAGAGGGACTGAAGGGAGAAAACTTGATAAGGAAAGGTTTAGCAAAGAGGGGAAACAGGATGGGCTCCACTGGTCCAGACTCCTCACTCTTTGATTCCCCCCAGAATAAACAAACACATGACAACAACCCAAATGCATACCCATTGGGATCATCACCCTCTAACATCCAGTACCTCTCCCTCCGACCCCGATAGCTTGTCCTTCCATGGTGGGCAGCTGAATTTTTCCTAAGCCTATTTTTTCTTTTCATCTCTGTGTCTTAATTCAAAGCATGGCCCCCACCAAGGGTGAGCCAACTTCTACTCCTTCTGCATCCCAAGGAGGGGAGAGGGAGGCATTTATTTCTCCCAAATTTCAGTTGGTGATGCCAACATATTGTCCAGGTTCCTTTATACTGGCAATACATGCCACTCTGAAAAGTTTGTATTCCAAAATCCTCACTACCATCCACCAGCTTCCTGGGACCCATTTCCAATCCCAAGGGGGCCTTAGTTTCTCCCTCATTGTTTTCCTCTCTGGTCTTTTCTCCGCCATCACTATCTACAGGAATCTTCTTTAACTTGGCTCTGCTTTTCGAGCAGATCTATATTCACTCTCTTAACACAGCCCTAGAAAATCCACTGTGTCACTGGTCACCCAACTCTGCCACTTCCCTCTTTCCACCTTCATCTCCCATTGTCCCTCCCCATTGTCCCACTTCCTCAAGATTAAGAAGAGTTTGAAGGCTAGAGGTTGAGAGTGATGGAGAGAGAAATTCAAGTGCAAAAGTTCTGAGGAGATGCTGGTGGGGAAGGTACCATGCACAGGACAGAAATGGAAAATGTAAGGAATACAACAAAGAAGATGGAGCTTGATAACAGGGAGAATGTGGAGACAGTAGTGTCATCATGAACAGACAGGAAAGAAAAGAGGATGATGGGGATTAAGTCAAGACAAGTGAGGGACCAGAAGAGACAGATGAGAGGAGGTGCCTGGGACAAAAGGTACAGCAAGAGAGCAACAAACCTGGGAGCCCACTAGGGGTGGTGTGAACCAGCTGTCTGACAACTACACACGTGTGGGAGTCGTGATGGCTCCAGGCTCAGAGTCACCCATTTGCACAGAGAATCTTCGCCTGGCACTCCTTACTTACCCAGTATCCTCTGAAGTCGGCTCTTGTTCTCCTCAGCAAGGGCCTGAAAAGAACTATTGGCTCCTTTGGCTTCTGCACATGCAAAACTGAAGAAGTCGGTACAGCGGGGTGCACTGGTGTTCCCGGAGGCCCGGTAATATTCCAGGAGATCCCTGCATGCGGGCATCTCGCAGGGGCCTGTAGGGAAAAGCTCAGAGCTGGGAAAGAAGAGAGAGGTGAGGGCTCCCCCAAGGGGCTGGGCAAAGGAATGCTGGGTGAGGACCAAGGAGAGACCTTGGTGAGAAGGGAATGATCTTGCTGGTTTCTGGGGGTGGGAGTCAGGGGGAAAGGACTTGGGAGCAGGTAAATGGGAGGGGCAGGGTGAGTGGTGGATTAAGTTGGGGGGCATGGAGCCTCAGGTGATGAATGGATGGGGTCCATGACTGAGGGAGGGCTGATGGGTATAGGGGTTCCAGGATCCTGCTTACGAGGCCCACAGCTCCGGAAGATGTAGAACAAAATCACGGAAGAACCAAGGAGCAGGCCTAAAAGCAGGACAGCCGTTAGCAGCTGCCTGGCTGGGGCCCACCATCTGCTCTGTTCGGTGGGCTGCTCCTCTTCTGGGGGTCTCTGTGCACACAGTGAGCCAGGCATTAAGAAACACAAGAGGGAGGGGGTTGAGAGGGTAGGGTAGGGGAAGGGAAGGGGACAGAGAAAAGGGGAGAGAATAAAGAAGTTAGTGCTAGGGCCCCTTGTTCAGAGATCATCCTCCTCATTCTCCCTAAACACAGCCCTGTGCGGACCCTGGGAGATGCTCAGACAAGCGACTCTGCCTGTCCTGCATTAAGTCTCAAGCAGGCGGTGATGGTGAGGGGTGGCTAGAGCTGGAAGGATATCATAAATCTACCCAGGACAGGTCAAGGATATCACTTACCTCCTGGCTCCAGAGAGTCCCCATTCTACTCTCCTAGCTGGGTCCCCGTGGTTCTCTCTGCACTTGTCCCCACCCTCCAGAGCTGAGTGAGCAGAAGGAGAAAGACACTGGTTCAGGAAGGGGAGGGGGGGTACCTTAAAGAAAGTTAGATCAGCTCATTTTGACACTGTTACCCACCCACTCCACCCCCACATATTTTCATCCTGGGGAAGTGTCTCCAGATGGGCTGCAGAGTGAACCTGTGCCCTAAATGTACCACTAGGCCCTATCACCTCCTGTCCTTTCTCCCTTCTACTCTCCAAGCCTCTCCCACCCCACCCCTCTAGTGGGGATAGGGCCTTCTCACAAAGCAGCCACCCCCACTCCTCAGCTGAGGCCTCTGACTCCAAAAAGAAATGGTTTTCATTAGAGGACTTGCCTTCTGTTTATCTGTCCGTCTGTCTATCCTTTTCTCTGGTTCCCCAAATTCTTCCTGGTTCTGCTCTGGGTGCTGAGTCTGAAGACTGGGATCAAGGAAGTGGCCTCCCTCCTTTTCCCACCCACCCCAGTTTGTTGGTCCTGGAGAAGGGGCACTTCTGCCACTCACCGCCCTCGCCATCCCCATATACACATCATTGGCCTCTGGGTGGAGCCTGGTTATCAGTCCAGAGACACCCTGGCCTCTCCTCCTTTATCTCAGCTTCTCAGGGGAGGCACAGCGGGAAGTCTTTACTCCCCAAGTGATCTTGCCCTTGGAGGCATCTCTTGCCCTGCTCCGTGCCTTTGCCAGAGTCTCTTGTCTTTATAATATTCAGACATAAGTCATGTGCTACTTCCTGATATGTCAAGTTCTCCAAATTAGTCTCTGGAACATCCTTATTTGTCTGAAAGTGAGTGGTAAACATCATTCACAGTGAGGGAGAAGAAAACCCCAGTATCCCCAAACTCTCTTTAAAAAGTCCCCACTTTCCAATGTCTTAGCAACTTCTTAGCCTCTTTTTGTATTCCACCAGGATGTGAGGCAAATCATGAATGAAAAAACAGGTTCACCATCTCTTATCCTTTACTGAGGAGATGGTCTGATATATCATATTAGAAACTCTGAAACACATGCAAATGTTGATAGCTACCACTGGTTGTTGGCCTACAATATGCAAAATGTACATTGCTTCTTTAGTCCTACACTAATCTGTCAAAGGAGGTATGATTATTTTGTTTTAAGGAGGAAATTGGAGGTACAGATTGAGTAAGAGAGTTTCCCAAGATTACATGACTAATAACTGGTAGAATCCAGATCAAAATCAACTCCAGATTATCTAGATCTAAAACTCCTGCTCTGCACTAGATCACATGGTCCTTATCTGTAAAATACAGAGTATGTTTACTGAGTCCATCTGATGAAGAATGGCAAAACCGAGACAGATGCAAAGGGCTGGAGCACAGGGAAGGTGTGGCCCATTGAGAAGTGACCACCTCTGATTGCCTTGTTGCTGGGAAGGGGAGAGGGACTGAAGACCAGAACTGTAAGGTCAACATCTGAAAATAAAGGAGGCAGAATATTACAACCAAAGATGCAATATTTTCTAGGTAAGGTGCTGTATGTTGTGTGCATGTGTGTGTGTGTGTTTAAATAGAGGTAAGGAAATGAAAGAATTTAATTTAGAGGGAAAGGGAAGGTGGGAAGAAGTAAAAGGAATAGCTCCCTGCCCTTTTGTGTGCAACACAAGCAATCAGTAACCAGTAGGTGTTATTTGTAGCAGATGCTCTAACTTAAGAATGAGGGCATCAGGCCAGGCAAAGGTATGAATCTTTGGTCTCCATGGAGACAAGATACAGCTAATAGCTATCTATGCAAACTTCCCCAGACTCTCATATTGGATATCTTCTTGCTGAGTCTAGTGTTCTTGCCAAGCCAATAGCTTCATTTCATACCTAGTTTTTGAATTCAACGCAACTTGCTGATGACTTAATGTCTAAACTCAGCCTTAATTTTTGAGTGTTTCTATTGATAGTACTCAAAGGATGTCTACCTCCTATAATCCCCATGTAAGGCTCACCTGGGCATATTAGCCAGCTAGTGTTGAAGATTGAGAATAAATGTCTGTGGGTATGGAGCTGGATTATAAAACCTTACCTGAGTCTTCTAGGAGTTGAAGATCCATGGTGTGAATTTAAGGCAAAATCCTTAGGGTGTATATAAGCCTACATCTGTGCAAGCAAGCTCAGGCACAAATTCTGAAGGATAAGTGTTAGGCCTAAAAGAGAGGGAAGAGGCAATAGTCAGAAGCATAACCAGAAAAAAAATAACTGGTCATGGTCGAAGTTAAAATCATTAGTTTTGGAATTTTTTTTCCATAAAAGTAGGACATTATGACCATTTACATGAGTGGAAATGTGGGCTTGAAGTTCACAGATAAGAAATTGCCACATTCCCATGTGGCCTAAGATGTCCTGTGATGCTCAAGGGCACACATAATGAGGACCACTGTTTATGTGATATGAGTATTTGTAGACATTCCTCACATAGAAGGCTAACCTAGTTGAGTTCCTGGCATTTCTTTTCTATGTAGATATCTGCTGGTTTCATATAAGGTGCCAATATTTCTGCTGCCATACAGGTGGACCAAGCCCCTTAGCCTCTCTGGAGAGGGTGTAAGGTTTTCAATAAAGTGGGTATGATGTTTTGGATTTTTTATCTAGCAACTATTCACTATTCTTCCTGTCCCACTAGGAACAAAACACTTCTGGTCCATCAAGTTTGGGCTTGGCCATGTGACTTACTTTGGCCAATGGAACATTACTAACCATGATGCAAATGGAAACTGAGTCTTAAAATTACTTGCATGATTTGGCTTGACTTTTGTACTCAGGTGATCCTTTATGGGAAACCATGACTTGCTTAGCCCCTGCTCCTTCAGCCTGAGTCCCTGAACAAACACATGCATATATCTATGTCCTAGATTCAAGTCTATCTACATGCAACCCGAAGCGCAGAGGATGTTCTTATATCAACTAGACAGCAGTCAACACATGGACCTTTGGACAGGAGAATGCCTACTTTTGGAACCATTAAATTTTATTATGGCAGTAGTTGACTAAGACAGTAGGCTTAGCAAGGCCTTATACAAACTCTTTTTTGAAGATGCATACACTGAATTGGTACCTGTGTGGACTGGAGTTTCCTGTGTTCAGCATGTTTCTCTGTGCCCCTCTGAGATTGGGAAGATTGGTATCATGGAAATATGCCAAGAAGAAAAAAAAACAGACAAGATCCTCCTTCTGAGATGCGTCAACATGTACACATTCAAATTTCACTCTTTGGGTATTACCTTGAAGTTTCTGCCATATTCAAGCACCAATCCAACTATTATCAAATAATGTCTGATGGACTTACTAATTTAATTAAGCAGCAATTCATATTCTTGTTCTACTCCTATATCTATAAAAGAAGTATACATGCTAATAAAAATATTAAAAGTAGTCCTTTTACTTGTTAATTAAATTTTCTTTAAAAACTATAATTTTTTTCAAAGGTGAGCCCCAACTCTTAATATAGCTTCCTTTGAAAAAGTAATTAGAATGGAACCAAACCTGCCCCAGTGATCTCTTTCTTCCTCCTCTTGTCAAACCCCCCAGCACTGCCTGGGACATCAAGGTTTATCCTCTTTTATCCAGTAAAACAACTATGGGATATTTACACAATAGAGTACTACCTAGCCATAAAAAAGAACAAAATTTTACCCTTTGTGACAGTATGGATGGACCTACAGAATATTGTGCTAATTGAAATAAGCCAGTCAGAGAAAGGCTAATACCACATGATTTCACTCATATGTGAAATCAAATGAACAAACTGACCTAACAAGGAAAATGGGGACAGACTCATAGATAAAGAGTAATATGACAGTGGGGGGTGGGCAGAGGTTAGAGGGTGGAGGGATTGAGCAAAAAAGAAAGAGGACTCATGGACATGGGAAACAGTGTGGTGATTGTGAGGGGAAAGGGTTGTATAAGGTGACTAAATGATAATGAAAAAATACAATAAAGATTTTTTAAAGGCTTATTCTGGGGTTTATAGGAAGGTCGCTTCTTAGCTGCTGTCGCTGAAATCAAGTGATCTTCAAAGTGAATTGCCAGCGGATATACACACCTGAAAGCACCACCAGAGGTAGATGAATGTCCCAACTTTGATTTTGATACCTTAACCACTACAGATGATAGCTGATTATACAGACAGACAACAAAGGCCACTATCTTCAAAGTGGGAAATTGATGGAGAGTTTGGAGAATAACAGCCCCAGTCATGGAGCAGTAGTCAGGCAGCAAGGGACAGTTAAAAGAATTTAGATCAAAGAAGATTTTGACTAGGAAGAGACTTCCAAAAGCAGAATTTTCACAACTGGGAGGCTCAATGGTTAAGACCTCCCAGCTCTGATCATTGTTGACTTTTATAACTTTGGACAAATTTATTGTTCTTTCATGTCTTCTCATCTGTAAAATGGGGAAGATAATAGCTCTTCGGATTACTGTAAAGACTGAGTTTGCTAAGATATTGGAGAATGGGACACAGATTTGGGCACAAGATGCACGTCTCTGCACATGCCCTGTCTGCATACTTTCCATACTCTGTGGATCTCACAGAGTGAGTTGGCCACGGACAGACTTGGAATGTATGTGCTGCAGGCCTTCCTGCCAGAAGAGAGGCTTCCCAGAAAGAAGACTATACAAACACCCTTGGGAGAAAAAATTAAGGCAAGACTAAGAACGATATGCCAAAGGAAGGATAATCCAATTTAAAGGACTTCAGTCAGATGTTCCTAGTGAGAATAACTCAGAAGAGCCCACAAGAGTGTCCCATATGAAAGAGACAACTTTGGACTCTGGTCCCATCCAGAGGGCTTCAATGCCAGATTAAAAGTAAGGCTTTTTCCAACCTTACTGCTCCCTCTTCTCAAGCATCCATCTGGAAGGAATCAAAACTGAAGCTCTCAGTTAGAAAGGAGATAGGTAGAGAAAGAGAGGAGATTCTGACCACGACCTGCATTTCCTACTGCAATCATCAAAAGACATTTTGAAAGAGACCATGACCCAGAGTTTTGGTGGCAGAATTACCTTTTTATTACCTAAAAACAAGGAGGGGACTGCTTATTATCTAAAGTATGTGGAGAAAGCCCCAGGACTTGCCCAAGATCTCACTCAGAAGTGGTAAACAAGCTGATAGAACTGGTTTTGCAGGAGTAGTGGTTCGAAAGACTGAAGACAATTCTGCTTGCACCTGGCTGAGTCTCACTCCTTTATTTCACAGTCACATTCACTGCATGACCAAGGACAAAGAACTTCCTTGTTTCATCAAGTGGAAAATGAAAGACTCATACTTAGGCATTATTTCAACTCAATCTGTCTTATTCATAAAAATGTCATAAAACATTTACCACTGGGTGGTCCTAAGGAATGTTTGGTAGGTCTTCTGTGTTGTATAAAGGATTAATGAACAACCATTTTCCCATTTAGAGCAATAGAATACCAAACAATGAGGCAAGTGTTGTGGCCTTCCTTCATGAAGCTTTAACACACACACACACACACACACACACACACACACGGAATATGA